AACAAATGAAGGAATGAATGGGAGGATTCTGTATGTGGTTTGTGGTTTAGAAAATCAACTACTGAGCTTTGATATCAAATTCTATATAGGGTATTGAGACTTGAATGATTCCCAACCTTCCTTGAGAGATATCATGTCCAAAGAACCTAATAAGGGATCCCCAACTCCCTGTTCTAGCCTTGAGACCTAGTGGATGAGCTATGAAAAGACAGCTGCTTAAATATAAAAGGAATCTTAATATTCATTTGATCCATTCTCAGAATAACTATGAAACTTGACTAAGACCAAACAGAGCTAATGACAGATCTGAGACTGGAATTAGCCCTCCTTGTCCCCATTCAAGTGTTGTTTTAGTACATGAGACAGTTTTGACAGTGACCACCACTGCAAGGCAAAGTGGAGTTCTGTGACAATGCAGTCCTCATAGACCTAGAACCGAAATAGAAGATACATAGAATACATGCATGACACTTCTTTCTGATGCCCAAAGGAGATATCATTAATGATCATGATACTTTTCCCACTGAATCTGGACAGGTCCTCAGGGACCCACCACTAGCCAATCAGAGTTGGCACTCAGTTTGAGGTCTATCTGCTATCTCTCCTCCAGATGAAATAAAGATTTCATAAGCCAGTGAACTGTCTTCTCAAGATGAGCTGAACCTCTAGCCATGAACTTTGAATCTTTTATTGCTTATCACTGTCCCCATATCCCCAAAGAACTTTGAGGTGATGTCTGCAAGAAGGTTGGTTTCCAAAGCATGGGTCTGCCAGACAAAGCAGGTGCAGTTATTAGTCATGACTCCAAGCCAGGCCAGGTGATTAAGAAAAGCTAAATTTATATTAAATTATCATAAAATCCTAAAATACTGAACATAGTGGTTAAATAATTCCAGGAAGCCCAATCTCTCCAGTAACGTTAAAACCATTACACATGAGTGCGGGAGAATCATTTCCATTAGTTTAGAACAGAGAGATTTTGCTTTTTACATAGTAAATCAGTGCTAAAATAGAGAGTTCTTCAATTATGTCCTTTCTACATTCTGAACAGCTCAAGTGCAATAAGATCCTGCCCCCTTTGCAATCAAGAAAATGTCACTTTTCTCCCCACCACCAGCTATGGGTCTGAGGACCCACAGGGCTCCTTCCCTTATTGCCCCAACAAGTGTGGAATGTCCTTTCATCCTAGGAGTCACACCTCACCTTTCCCACTTCATGTACTAGAAAAGCCATCTTGGCCTGGCCGTCCTGTGTGGGCCCAGACTTTGGGCTGGCTATTGAGAGCAGGGCTAAGGGCTTGGCACCTGTCTCTAGCAGTCTGAGAACTAACTAGAAAAGGGGTGGTCTTATCCTCCTTTTTCAGTCACGTTTGGCAGCTGATTTCTCAAAACCAGGAGATGTTGCAAATCAGCAACCTTCCCCTAGAAGTCCTCACTACCATTCTTAGTCCCTGTTGTCTTCTCCTATCATTTCTAACTCCTGGGTAGAAGAGGTCTGGATCTATCTTGGGCTAAGAAGGCTTCATCAGTGGCTCTGCCTTTCCATTTCTTGCCTTGACTTTGCATCTTGAATTTAGCCCTCCAGGTGCCACAAGTCCATGTCAGAGAAAGCAAATTAGACCAAAAAAATTAAAAACATAAAAATAAAGAGAAGGAGAGCTAGGTACAAGTTTTCAGACAGCAAAAAGTCTCAACTCCCCTGACACTAGCATGAGTCATGCCCTTTGCGCAAATGGGCACGAACCCAGTGATGTCAGCTCAGCATGGAAAGTGTCACTTAGCTGGGAAGAGAGTTGGAATGGGTACTCCACCACCCCAGAGCCACAGGCTCTCTCTCCACTAACTTAGATCCCTAAGCACTTGAGAGAGAACACAGGAGGTTCAACCTCATTAATACTTCTTTTTAGGCCCTAGTTGTCCCAGGTTTCTAACCCAATTGCCTTTCCTGATCATTTATGAAAACTCCTGACACTTCTTTGAAAAGTTGTTTCAGGGTCTCTACACTCAGAATCCCAGAGAATGAGGAGGGAGAGAGAGGCAGAACATTACAGTTCAGGTGATATGCTATCCTTGGTCTTGGCAGCGCTGTTTAGACATTGCAGAGACTCAGCCCTCAGGGCCCCACATTCACTTGAGCCATTGGTTCATAACCTGGTTACTTAGGAGGGAATTTGTATTAGCCAGCTGCCGTGAGATAGGGACCTTCAGCCATCTGAAGGTAGCCAAGGTTCCAGACTTTCAGAAGAACAGCTTGAGCCACACCCAGATCTCAGCATCTGCAGCTGAAAAAAAGTGACTCTTAGGATGAGAACAACATCCATTGCCAGCAATGGACACCCCTAAAAGCTTTTTTATATTGCTAACACACTTGAGGCTGGAGTTTTCCCAGATGCCCATCCCAGCTGGGCTGACTCTTCCTTCTCCTCTCAGCCTCTATCCTTCATCTCTCTTTACCCTTGACTCCCTGCCCCAGTCCCCAGTGGACAAGTTCTCTCAGATAAATGGTCAGGCCAGCTAGGATGAGGGAGAGTGCAGTCTTAAATCATCAACTCTTGGGGGGGCAGGCACTGAGGGTACCAGGGGAAGGGGAGCTGGAGCTCTGTACTGACGAGGAGTCATTAGTGAGCCTAGTTTCAGGGGCTCAGGATGGAGCGCAAGAGATGAGGTTCATGGTAATCCAGGTCTAAATTCATGGGATGCATCACCATTTCTCATGCACAGGTAGTTACGAACTCAGGTGGACATAGCTCCCATGGGGGACTTGGGAGCAGTTATGGGATGGGAGGAGGAGGAGAAGTATGAGCACATAGGAAGGGGGCCCGTTATGAGCACAAGGACTGGAAGTCCATAAAGGAGAAGGAATGGGCAGGGAAGGAAGAGAACATGGGCATTTAGACCTGGCTCTCTGAGGAGAGCTTGCGTTCATGTTTCCAGCCCGTGTCTGGCAGAGAGCCTCGTCTTTCAGGAGTGGCTGTGGTATGGACACTGCTACACTCAGACTGCTCTTCCTGCAACAGCTGCTCCATCTCCGTGTCGTCCAGGGAGCCAGAGCTGGCCTGGATGGATACTGTGTCTGTCTTCATGCACACATGATCCCGAAGAAGGCCTCCCCGGGAGCTGCGCAGCTGCTTCAGGTCATCCCACTCAACATCATCCCCAGACAGGAGGCAGATTCCCTCTACAATCTTGATCTTCTCCTTAGTGTGGTTACGGTCAGGCCCACCCTAGGGTGGAGAGTGAAGAAACATGGTCAGTTGGTTGGCTATCATGGAGAACTGGAAAAGGAAGTGAATTTGGTTAAGAGTGGCTGTGAAGAGTACAACAATCCCACAAACAAATGTGGAAATTTGGTCAGACCAAACATATGACTCTTAACAGGAAAGGAGCAGCTATAATGATTATTACCATTATACAGGGAGGAGGGAGAACCATGGCTTCTAGTCGTGCATCAGCCACTCACTGGCTATGTCACCCTGGGAAAGTTATTTAACACTTCTAAAACTTAGCCTCCATATCTGCAGTGTGGGGAGAAAAACAGTATCCATACTTCATAACCAAGTCCCATGAGGGTTAAATGAGAGGATACATGGAATGCAATTAGTAGGTGCTTGACACTTAAGATGCACTAATCATGTTAGTTATTATTACTTTGTTACTGTAGTTTATTAATGGGACATGATGCTGACATACATGATCAAAAGCAATTGACAAAAACAATTAAATGTGTATTTATTCAGGATTTTAAAAAACATCTGTGCTCTTTTATTCTTAATTCTCTTCTTTCTAACTTTGTTAAGGGGAAAACCTTTGGGAGATAAGACAAACCCTAAAGCTTCGGGAGGGGGCAAATCCTACAGGTATAGAGGCTTATGCTTTAAGCTGGATTTCATTGTTTAAAATGTCCTCCTTTACTCTTGGTTGTGAGTTTTTTCAAAAAAGAATGGTGAAGTGAGGGATGGTTGTCCTTGAGCTATTCTTGTTTTTGTTTTAGCAAACCTATCCCTCACCAAAGCTGCAAGAATTATACACTATAGATTACACTCAGATAGCTTGTTATTTAAATATAAGAGGCTTCAGTCTTTCTTGCTTTTTTCTTCTTCTTTTTTCCTTCTTTCTTCTTTTTTTTTTCTGGACTCTAAACTCTGTCAGGCTTGGGCAGTGCTTGGCCTATAGTAGAAGATGAACAAATGAAGGAATGAATGGGAGGATTCTGTATGTGGTTTGTGGTTTAGAAAATCAACTACTGAGCTTTGATATCAAATTCTATATAGGGTATTGAGACTTGAATGATTCCCAACCTTCCTTGAGAGATATCATGTCCAAAGAACCTAATAAGGGATCCCCAACTCCCTGTTCTAGCCTTGAGACCTAGTGGATGAGCTATGAAAAGACAGCTGCTTAAATATAAAAGGAATCTTAATATTCATTTGATCCATTCTCAGAATAACTATGAAACTTGACTAAGACCAAACAGAGCTAATGACAGATCTGAGACTGGAATTAGCCCTCCTTGTCCCCATTCAAGTGTTGTTTTAGTACATGAGACAGTTTTGACAGTGACCACCACTGCAAGGCAAAGTGGAGTTCTGTGACAATGCAGTCCTCATAGACCTAGAACCGAAATAGAAGATACATAGAATACATGCATGACACTTCTTTCTGATGCCCAAAGGAGATATCATTAATGATCATGATACTTTTCCCACTGAATCTGGACAGGTCCTCAGGGACCCACCACTAGCCAATCAGAGTTGGCACTCAGTTTGAGGTCTATCTGCTATCTCTCCTCCAGATGAAATAAAGATTTCATAAGCCAGTGAACTGTCTTCTCAAGATGAGCTGAACCTCTAGCCATGAACTTTGAATCTTTTATTGCTTATCACTGTCCCCATATCCCCAAAGAACTTTGAGGTGATGTCTGCAAGAAGGTTGGTTTCCAAAGCATGGGTCTGCCAGACAAAGCAGGTGCAGTTATTAGTCATGACTCCAAGCCAGGCCAGGTGATTAAGAAAAGCTAAATTTATATTAAATTATCATAAAATCCTAAAATACTGAACATAGTGGTTAAATAATTCCAGGAAGCCCAATCTCTCCAGTAACGTTAAAACCATTACACATGAGTGCGGGAGAATCATTTCCATTAGTTTAGAACAGAGAGATTTTGCTTTTTACATAGTAAATCAGTGCTAAAATAGAGAGTTCTTCAATTATGTCCTTTCTACATTCTGAACAGCTCAAGTGCAATAAGATCCTGCCCCCTTTGCAATCAAGAAAATGTCACTTTTCTCCCCACCACCAGCTATGGGTCTGAGGACCCACAGGGCTCCTTCCCTTATTGCCCCAACAAGTGTGGAATGTCCTTTCATCCTAGGAGTCACACCTCACCTTTCCCACTTCATGTACTAGAAAAGCCATCTTGGCCTGGCCGTCCTGTGTGGGCCCAGACTTTGGGCTGGCTATTGAGAGCAGGGCTAAGGGCTTGGCACCTGTCTCTAGCAGTCTGAGAACTAACTAGAAAAGGGGTGGTCTTATCCTCCTTTTTCAGTCACGTTTGGCAGCTGATTTCTCAAAACCAGGAGATGTTGCAAATCAGCAACCTTCCCCTAGAAGTCCTCACTACCATTCTTAGTCCCTGTTGTCTTCTCCTATCATTTCTAACTCCTGGGTAGAAGAGGTCTGGATCTATCTTGGGCTAAGAAGGCTTCATCAGTGGCTCTGCCTTTCCATTTCTTGCCTTGACTTTGCATCTTGAATTTAGCCCTCCAGGTGCCACAAGTCCATGTCAGAGAAAGCAAATTAGACCAAAAAAATTAAAAACATAAAAATAAAGAGAAGGAGAGCTAGGTACAAGTTTTCAGACAGCAAAAAGTCTCAACTCCCCTGACACTAGCATGAGTCATGCCCTTTGCGCAAATGGGCACGAACCCAGTGATGTCAGCTCAGCATGGAAAGTGTCACTTAGCTGGGAAGAGAGTTGGAATGGGTACTCCACCACCCCAGAGCCACAGGCTCTCTCTCCACTAACTTAGATCCCTAAGCACTTGAGAGAGAACACAGGAGGTTCAACCTCATTAATACTTCTTTTTAGGCCCTAGTTGTCCCAGGTTTCTAACCCAATTGCCTTTCCTGATCATTTATGAAAACTCCTGACACTTCTTTGAAAAGTTGTTTCAGGGTCTCTACACTCAGAATCCCAGAGAATGAGGAGGGAGAGAGAGGCAGAACATTACAGTTCAGGTGATATGCTATCCTTGGTCTTGGCAGCGCTGTTTAGACATTGCAGAGACTCAGCCCTCAGGGCCCCACATTCACTTGAGCCATTGGTTCATAACCTGGTTACTTAGGAGGGAATTTGTATTAGCCAGCTGCCGTGAGATAGGGACCTTCAGCCATCTGAAGGTAGCCAAGGTTCCAGACTTTCAGAAGAACAGCTTGAGCCACACCCAGATCTCAGCATCTGCAGCTGAAAAAAAGTGACTCTTAGGATGAGAACAACATCCATTGCCAGCAATGGACACCCCTAAAAGCTTTTTTATATTGCTAACACACTTGAGGCTGGAGTTTTCCCAGATGCCCATCCCAGCTGGGCTGACTCTTCCTTCTCCTCTCAGCCTCTATCCTTCATCTCTCTTTACCCTTGACTCCCTGCCCCAGTCCCCAGTGGACAAGTTCTCTCAGATAAATGGTCAGGCCAGCTAGGATGAGGGAGAGTGCAGTCTTAAATCATCAACTCTTGGGGGGGCAGGCACTGAGGGTACCAGGGGAAGGGGAGCTGGAGCTCTGTACTGACGAGGAGTCATTAGTGAGCCTAGTTTCAGGGGCTCAGGATGGAGCGCAAGAGATGAGGTTCATGGTAATCCAGGTCTAAATTCATGGGATGCATCACCATTTCTCATGCACAGGTAGTTACGAACTCAGGTGGACATAGCTCCCATGGGGGACTTGGGAGCAGTTATGGGATGGGAGGAGGAGGAGAAGTATGAGCACATAGGAAGGGGGCCCGTTATGAGCACAAGGACTGGAAGTCCATAAAGGAGAAGGAATGGGCAGGGAAGGAAGAGAACATGGGCATTTAGACCTGGCTCTCTGAGGAGAGCTTGCGTTCATGTTTCCAGCCCGTGTCTGGCAGAGAGCCTCGTCTTTCAGGAGTGGCTGTGGTATGGACACTGCTACACTCAGACTGCTCTTCCTGCAACAGCTGCTCCATCTCCGTGTCGTCCAGGGAGCCAGAGCTGGCCTGGATGGATACTGTGTCTGTCTTCATGCACACATGATCCCGAAGAAGGCCTCCCCGGGAGCTGCGCAGCTGCTTCAGGTCATCCCACTCAACATCATCCCCAGACAGGAGGCAGATTCCCTCTACAATCTTGATCTTCTCCTTAGTGTGGTTACGGTCAGGCCCACCCTAGGGTGGAGAGTGAAGAAACATGGTCAGTTGGTTGGCTATCATGGAGAACTGGAAAAGGAAGTGAATTTGGTTAAGAGTGGCTGTGAAGAGTACAACAATCCCACAAACAAATGTGGAAATTTGGTCAGACCAAACATATGACTCTTAACAGGAAAGGAGCAGCTATAATGATTATTACCATTATACAGGGAGGAGGGAGAACCATGGCTTCTAGTCGTGCATCAGCCACTCACTGGCTATGTCACCCTGGGAAAGTTATTTAACACTTCTAAAACTTAGCCTCCATATCTGCAGTGTGGGGAGAAAAACAGTATCCATACTTCATAACCAAGTCCCATGAGGGTTAAATGAGAGGATACATGGAATGCAATTAGTAGGTGCTTGACACTTAAGATGCACTAATCATGTTAGTTATTATTACTTTGTTACTGTAGTTTATTAATGGGACATGATGCTGACATACATGATCAAAAGCAATTGACAAAAACAATTAAATGTGTATTTATTCAGGATTTTAAAAAACATCTGTGCTCTTTTATTCTTAATTCTCTTCTTTCTAACTTTGTTAAGGGGAAAACCTTTGGGAGATAAGACAGAAGGGACCTAGAATATTCTCTTACTTGGATTCTAGGTGGCAATCCACTGAAGTCCTGTAACCTATAACCTTTTTTGGGAGGTTACTCTGGCTCTGCTCCCATGAGCCTTGGGGTCATTCCGAAGCAACCTGGTATCATTCCAAGGACAGCCTTAAGTTCCACTCAGGCTTCTCTTTTTATGGATTCCTCAAAGGGTAGCCTTACTGCTGGATTCTTGGAGAAACCAAACAATCTGCTGCCATTGCCAGAAGAATATGGGCCATGGCTTGGGTTCTGTCCCTAGAATAGGGTTCCTGTCAAGAGCCCTGAAACTGCTGCTCTATTTTAGTAACAATTCAATTTCAGTGATATTTGTTAGCGCCTACCTTAAGCACAACACTTTCATGATTGCAAACTATAAAATATGGTCCTCACCCTCTGGGAGTCACAGCTCCCTCGATCAAGCAGAGAGAGACACAGACAGCAGCACCCAAGTTCATACACATGCACGCACACACACACACCCATTCACCCAGCACACTCTCCAGGCTGAAATCAGTGTAATATAAGTTGAAGGCCACACAGAGGCTCCAAAACAGAGACATGCTGAGTAAGTTAGAGAGAGGTGGGGGACATTGCACCAGCAATTTGGGGGACACCTCAACACACATAGCAACAGGTACCTGAAATCAAGAGGAAATCAGAAGAGAAAGGGTGAAAGACTATCAGAGGGGTGAAAGAGCTGCTGAGGAAAAAGCACACAACAAAAGAAAGGTCACATAATTTAAAATTCCAACCTATGGCCCTTATTATGGTTCTTTTCTGGGGCATCAGATGTTTTAGTAATCCTAGAATCGTCAAGAGTCTTTCTCTCAAATATATTAATTGAGAAGGGGTCTACCCTGCTATCCCTGCAGGTTCTATTCTGGCTTGTAGTGGGAGCTTTTTTAATATGGGGATTCATGGATTCAGAAAACATATGATGATTACAGAAAATGTACTCATTACACAGGGGAGCCTTGTGGATGTGAAGGCAGGTTCTGACTGTGCTGGACAGGCCAAAAGAGTAGACTGATTAGGGCCTCATAAGGGATAACTTCTGATGAAAGTTACAGGATTTTAGAAAAAACAAGCATCATAACAGACTAGGAAAATCTGAAATCCCAGGCTATAGATCCATTATAAAAATGGGACTATTTTTTCAGGCTTAAACAGTCAGCAAATAATTTTTTACTGAAGAGACAAAGGAGATGAAGAATTCTAGAGAAATCCCTTAAGACTCTGTGATAAGAGGATTGCAAAAAATAGCCATTCCCAGTCATAGGTGCCAAAAATTTGGATCAAAGGTTAGAAAAGGGAGAGTCCAGGAGCTCTTAGGTTTTTGGGTATTGTTTGGGGTTGTTTCAGAGGGGCACAGTGAGGGTTCCCCCTTACTGCAGGGGAATGACAATTCCTGGAGGGAAGAACCTATGAGTTTGGGAAAATATCTCCTGGCAAGGAAATACACAATCACATGCTTGAGACCTAAACCTTCTAGAAACTGCTCTATAACCTTGTTGTCTCAGGCTGGTCCTTCAGAGATTCTAGACCTCTCCAGAAACCCAACTCATATTCAGGTCTTCTACTCAGCATCACTTACTGAATTATTCAGGAAACTGGAGCATAATGCTTCCCCCACACACAAAAAAAGAAAGTTGAATATAAATTTGAGTTTTTACCTCTTTTCTATAGCACAGTTGATTGTACATGGCTGGTTTTGGGATTGCTTCAATTTTCACTTCCTGAGTGGAAGTTCGGTAGGAGGGGTTGCTGTAGGTCAGGTTCCTGATTCCAGGATCAGTTAACTTAGATTTTTTGTGTCTTTAGGAGGAAAGGTGATGAGAAATTAGTTCAGATCTTTATGGGATGATACCTAGGGGCACTGTAACCCAAGTGTGGGAGGGAGCCTCTAAGATGGCCCAGTGATCCCTGCCTTCTGGTACTCACATCTTCTGAATCCCTGCCCCTTGAGTGTGGGCTGGGTCTGGTGGTTCGCTTCTGATGAACAGAATACCCCAAAGTGATGAACACTAGATTAGATTACAAAGAAACTTGTGGCTTCCATCTTAGGTTGCCCTCCCTCCCTCTCTCTTATGTTTGTTCTGGGGGAAGCAAGCTGCCATGTTGTAAGTTGTCCTTTGGAAAGGCCCACAAGGCAAGGAACAGATGAGAGAGACCTATAGCCAACAGCCAGCAAGCTACTGAGACCCTCAGCCTGTGAGGAGGTGATCCTGCCAACAGCTACATGAGTGAGCTTGGAAGGGAATCCTTCCCCAGTCACAAGCCTTGAGACAAGACCACTACCCTGGTTGATACCTGGACTGCAGCCCTGTGAGAGACCCTGAGGCAGAAGTACCCCACTAAGCTGCATTCACATTTCTGACTCACAGGAACTACAAGATAATAAATGGTTGTCAATTAAGTTGCTAAGTTTTGGAATAATTTGTTATACAGCAATAAATGACTAATACACTGAGCTGTAGAGTCAAGATGGATCTAAGTTTCAATCTCACTTCTGTCACATACTAGCTGGGATCTTAGTGGACATAATCTAAACTTTCTGAGCCTCAGATCCTCATCTGTAAAGTGAGTAATAATAATACCTGTATTATGAGGTTGCTGTGGCATTGATACATACTCATTAAACGGTAACAGTTACTATCATCGTTACTGGTTGTTACTAGCAGAAGCTGCAGCAGAATCCTGATGTGTGGGAGAAAATACAGAGGGTCATGAAGAGAGGACTCTACAAGGTGACAACACACTCTGCCTTCCCAGAATGCTCCTTGCCCAGCAAGGATATGTCAACCAGTATTGCAGTAAAGGGTTGTGGTTACGTGAAGAGAAAATCATTCCAACTTCAATGGTTTGAAGCAGTGCAGAGTAGTGGAAAAATCAAAGATGCTAGAGTCAGTCCCAGCTTTGCCTCTTACCTTGTGACCTTGGGTAAAATCAGCTCCCTCAGCATCCTAGTCTTTGCAGAAAATTCCCATGAATGGCTATGGTCATGAAATGAGGAAACTAATTGGGCTGTGACTGGAGACAAAGAGTCAGAATTCAGGTTTCTACTCTTCCCTCCTGCTGCTCTGCCCAGGGCCCCAAACCTGATGCGAGGCTAGCTGGTCAGAGGTAGATGAGTGGGCTGTGGAGCTTTAGGAGGCCCCAGACATGCAGGCCTGAAGAGAGGCTGATGTTACCTGTACAGCATCAAAGCTGCAATCACCACCAAAATCAGCAGAATACTAAGGAGTCCACTGATGACATAGCTGACACGAAGTCCTTCCCCTAGGAAGCACAGAGAGACACTAGGCAGGGACCACCAATAGTCTTCTAGCTGGGGTGAGGGGTGGGAAGTCTGAGGATGGCTAGGAGCCTCCTTCTCAGAGAAGAGGCCACGGTGGCTGGGGGAGGGGGCTGAGAAGAAAGTTAGCAATCTGTCAGCAGCTCTAATCCCAATTCCACAATTTACTATGTGACTTAAGGTGAGGTGTTTAACTTTTAAGCCTATGTTTTCTTATCAGCCAAATGTAAATAATAAATTCTCATAGGCTGATGGAGGTTAAACATGTGTGTGCAAGCTCACACATCACATATATATGGCTTAACAAATGCCCAGCATATGAAAAGCACTCCTTAAGTGGCAGCTAATATGATTATTCTTTCTATGGATCTAGTCTATGAGAAGGCTGCATCAACCCCAAAGAGCCCCCTTGAAGGTTCTGGAAGACATCAGTGGAGACTTACATCTTGTCTTTCATAACAGTCGGGGGTGTTCAGGGCTTACCTGGAGCAGCAGGTATGGCCTCATTGGAATGTGCACAGAGGCCGAGCTGGGCATCATTTTCAGAGCATCTGTGAGGCACAGAAAACTGAATGTGAAGGTGATTTGCATTTAATAAAGATCTCACTTTTCTCCAAGAAAGGGTAAAAGGCTTGTGAGTGGGGCTTTCAGATATGAGACAATACCAGATGGGCAATATCAGAAGCATGGAGAGGGCAGAACCAGGAAATACAGAGAAATCAGTGAGTCACTATCTTCAAGATGCTATATCATGTTTAAATGTATTTTAAAATATGCACTCTTTAAAAAGGAGAAGCAGGTTTGGGAGTGAGCTGAGAGTCTGCTGAAAGAATACTAAGTACATCAATAAAAAAACTACAAGGATGAGCTGGAAGAAGCTATCAGCCAGGCAAACCTCTGATTGGATAAAGATTATCACAAGGCCTAAAAAGACCTCAAAAAAATTTGTTTTTTTTTCCTTCATTTTTTCACAAGGAAATATGCAAGACATCCAGAGGGAGGGCTCAGAGAACTAACTTGAAATGCTAAGAAGGTAGCTTCTTTGTGGCACATTATGAGCAGGCAATTAAAGGCATCTCCTAAAAGGCTAGAGAAAAGCTACTTGCAAGAGCAATTGAAACCAAGATACATTGAGCCTTTAAACAGAATTCTGACATAAAATATCTGAGTAGAGTTCAAAAGTTTTCTAAATAAACCTAAAGAAAATCAGATTAACAATAATTAATAGCACTTAAAAGGTAGTGAGAAAGATATGTTATATCTAAGTGTTTGCTTTTCTATATAAATTCTTCTAAAAAGAAAATGGTGCAAAAAGAATGAATTTGATCATATGCAAATCTTAAAGTTAATATTAGGAACATAAGTCTAGAGTTCTTATTCAGATTATTATTATTTCTGCTTTGGGAATTGGAATCAAGTGTTAATTATCCTTTAAGCTACAATTGATATTAAAAATAAAGTGACAAGTATATTACAATGAAAAACACTGTTCTGATAGAAAAGCATCTAGAAAAAAAGACATCAAAGTAGTAAAGGCAGCAAATGAAATCACTGTCTTGAAAAGATGTATGTACCCACATAAAAGGCAGCATTATTTACAATAGCCAAGACATGGAAACAACCTAAGTGTCTATCAATAGATGAATGGATAAAGAAAATGTGGTATATGTACATAGTATAATGAAATATTATGCAGCCACAAAAAGGAAATTCTGCTGTTTGTGACAACATGGATGGACCTTAAGGGCATTATGCTAAGTGACATAAGTCATACAGAGAAAGACAAATACTGTATGATATCACTTATATGTGGAATCTGAGGGAAAACAAACAAATAGATGCAGAGAACAAATTGATGGTTTACAGAGTAGATGAAATGGATAGAGATACAGAAAACAGACTAGTGGGTGTCAGGGGTGGACAATATGAATAAAGGTGGTCAAAAGGTACAAACTACCAGTTATAAAATAATTCCTAGGAATGTAATATACAGCATAAAGACTACAGTTAACAATACTGCATTGTATATTTGATAGCTGCTAAGAGAATAGATCTTGTAAATTCTCATCACAAGAAAAAAAATTGCAGCTATGTGTGGTGAAGGATATTCACTAAATTTATTGTGGCGATCATTTTATAATATTTACATATATCAAATAAAAACACTAACAGTAATTATATATGGGTATATGGCTACTTATTTCTTCTTTAGTTCTCTCTGTAATTCCAGATTATTTCTTTTGCAAAGTATAAATAAAAAAACACAGTTGTAAGAATTCTGTAAGTTGAATGTAACACCATATATCCTCAATTTTAGGATGTACATTTTCTCTATATTCTAATATCTCTGAAATACAAATCTGTATTATAATCAATGGCATCTCACATTTGCTGTTGGTCATTTTTTTCAGTTTAATCTCTCAAATCAGGGTGTAGCTTAAATTGACAGCACCTTCAATTTAACAAAATACAATATTTTATATAGGTTTGAGAATTATTCATGATTATGCTTGCTTATTAGTAACAGTATGTGTGTTTGTACATGTGTACATATATGTACATATGTGCTTGAGTGCTACAGGTCATTATAAACTAAGGCTTTCACACCCCTGAGGATATTCCAAGTCATAAAACCATAGCCCAGAGATCAATGACTAGGCGGGGTTTTAAGTAAACTGTTGGACAAGACTACATACTAAACCTGTTACATGAGAGCAAATGCAGAAAGAAAGCAACAAGTAGGAATGCCATGTAGGAAATTCTCTCTAAAGCTGCTCTTAAATCTTCTTGCCCTCAGAGGTAAAAAGAGAATCATCATTTGCAACAATCTACAAGTCTAAATGTCATCTCCAGTCCCAAATAGCAGGGGCTGATGGCTAATGATGTGATCTATCTCCATCTGCTCAGAATTACCAAGCTAAGACTGTGGTCCTCTCTGCTGGCAGGGGATGGTGATTTGAACAAAAAAAGGACCTCAATACTTCACCTTCCTTCCAGCTCCTCCAGAGATGTGTGTGTTCTGGTGGTAGAAGAACGCAAGGTGGTAGGTAATGTGTTTCGGAACAGTGGGTTCCGTTCATTCATGCTGGTAGCCTTGGGAACTGGGGGCACCAGGCCAGGTACTAGAGAGAAAAAGAGGACTGGAGTGGGCCACAGAAGCCCCAAATCTCTACATATGGTCCAAGAGGAGCATTTGGAGAACTTGACAAAGCAATCTTAGCTGCCCTAATCCTAGGCATCCTCATTAGAGGCCCTTCATAATATTGTAAATAAAAAGGATTTGGATTCCAATACTAATAACTCTGGATGGGCTAGCTGGCCCACAAAAGTCACAAAAAGAGTAATGCACAGGCCATAGCAGGGATAAGGGAACCAGGAGACCTGAATTTCATTCCTGTAAATGCCAGAAACCAGATGAACCCAGGTCTGTGCCATCAAAAGCTCAAACTTGTTGCTCCCAGTCACTCTGCTATTAAAATGACCCCCTGAGGGGGATTCCACCCAGAAGGACAAAGATGAGGCTGCTCATCCCCTGCCCTTCCAAGGACTCTGCTGTTCCAGGGGGCAGCTCAGTCCAACTCACCAAGGGAGCAGGGTCGGCCATCAGGCTCATCAGGACAGGCACACACAAAGTCTGAGGCTCTAGCAAAGCAGAGGTGGGTGCAGCCACCATTGTTCATGCTACAGGCATTTGTCCCTGGAGGAAAAGCAGATGTGTCTGGTCTGGGACAGAAGCAGGTCTCCCAATCTGATGCTTCTCAAAAAGGAGGGAATCTAGGGCTACCCCACTCCCAGGGACAGTAGGTCAGGAGGGATACAACTGCAGGGGCTGAAAAGGTCTAAGAGCTTGAAAAGCGAACCAAAAGGCCTTCTGTGCTTCTAATTGTCCTGGTCATTAACAGTCCTTAGGGTGACTAACCAGCCCTACTGATGGTAAGGAAGCAGGCTCAAGACCCAGGAGCCCACCTGTCTGTCGTTGAGGGGAAACCACGATGATATCCATGAGTCCTTCCACGTTTGCCAATACTGTCTCTTTGCTCCGGCCGGAGTACTTGTCAACACGCTGGACCGACTTGGTCTGCCAGTCTGTCCAGTAGATCCACCTGTCCTGCTACTCAATAGGGAAACCAAAGAAGAGTAAATATTATTCAACAATCTGACCCCAGTACAGCTGCTGTGCCTCTGCATGCACCTTCCCTCTGCTGAAATGCCCTTTTTGTCTCTTATTTACTGGGTCAACTTCTGTGCATTTCCACATAGGACACTGTCCAGGAAATATCCCCCAATCCAAAGAGAATCCATCATTCTCTCCTCCATGCTAATGTATACCTTGTCCTCACTTCCATAAGTAAGTTTTGACACTCTACAGTCATTTGTTTACATGTCTGTGTGTTGTATCAGATTAAGTTCTTCAAAGATAAGAATGTATTTCATTTATCTCTCAATTTCCAGCACTAACACTTAATCCTCAGTCAGTTGACTGAGTGGCTCAATGAATGAGTTCTCAAATCTAGCATATAGGAATAAATTGGGGGGTCCTTATAAGGTCCCTATTCTTCAGGGCCCTCCCTTCAGAGTCCTAGCCCAAATCTGCTGGTTACTTCTGAGGGCTGCTGTCTTCTGATACAGTGATCCTGAGATTCTCAGCTAGGGGTGGGGAGGAGCAACATAGGTGGTTACCTTACCACCCCTCAGTGTACATCAGAAACCCCAGGGGAAACTTACAGATTGAAAAACCATATTCAATATCCTGGAGTTTTACATTTGCAGTATGGGGACGACCTATCATTAAGCAAGCCAAAATCTTATTAGTTGTTAGGATCTAATGCAGAATATAGTTAAGTGGAATACAATATAGATATATCATATCTATTACATATAGAATATAGATAAGTCCCTTTGTCAAAACAGGACAAAGATTTTTAAATGACTGACAATTCCTGTTTTGGCCCCAGGCTTGGTACATCTCCTCTTTTACTTCCTTGAATTATTTCACAGTGTTAGAACTCTCAAAAATGGCAGCCAGTAAGAATTAAAATGATTGGAAAAAGTATTGAATACCATGTACTGTGCTAATGCTTTGTGTATATTTCAGGAGTAGACTATTATTAAACTCATTTATTATACAGGTAAGGGAAGCTTAGAGAAGTTCAGTATGTTTCCAAAGCTGTAGTCACTTGATGACAGAACTTGAATCCACAGAGCTGGTATGTTGAAGGTACTTAATAAATACTTAATGACTGGCTGACTGCCTTAAAACACTGGCTCTTAGCTATTCCGCCCTACTGCCAATAAGTGGGCTGTCTGAGCTTGGATGTTGGGACCACAGCATTAGGATCAACTAGGAAACTTTAAATGCATATTGCTGGGCCCAACACTCATGAGGCAGATTCTTCATATCCAGGACCCAGAAACCTGTCTTTGAGAATGACTCCTTCAAATGCTAGGACATGAAGCAGTGGGGCAGGAGCAGCAGGGCACATGATGGCAAGGCTTCAGGACCCAGGAAATACCCCTAAAGTGAGATTCCATAGTATGCCTGCTGAGTAGCAACTAGGGCTGAGACTGCTAACTTGGAACCCCAAGGAAACACCCCCATCAAGGAGGTTTAGTTACCTCTCTTCTGAGCCAGTACCTGAGTGAGAGCAAAGGGGTGGGATACGTGGCTGACCAAGACCTGCCGTAGCTTCCCATTGAGGTCAGCGCTCTCAATCCGGTCCAGATGTGCATCTACCCAGTAGATCCTGTGAAGGAAAGGAGAGAAGGATGGCTGCTCAAAGTGCCTGCCAAGGAGCCCAGGCCTTTGCCCTAAAGAGCTATCTGTCCCTCCCTGCACTGAATTGGCAGGTGCTGTGAGTGCCAAGAAGCACCCTTGATGGGAGGTCATAGTGAGTCCCTAAGCTTAAGAGAGGAAGTTGGTGACTCAAGTGGGGAAGCCAGCACTGCTCTGGGGAGGGGTAGCAAGTCTAATGACTCAGAGGAGCCACCACCAATTTCATCTACAGCAACTGATCACCTTTTGACTCCTACCCAAGAATCTAAGCCCACATTCTCATGAATACTCTTCAAGCAGAAAACTCGATTTACAAGGACTTCACTGAGGTTAAATGAAGAGGGTATTCCTCTTCTCCGTTCCAACTCTCCAGGTGACTTTGATTCCTTTTCCTTCCTCTGGAGGCAGTAGGGGAACTGACTGCTTCAGAACCCCTTGTATCCTCTTACCCTGCCTTCTAGCATTTTCTCTAGACAAGGAGTTGCAAATTCCAGTGTCTGAAGGGATCAGAAGAGTAACAAATTTGAAAAATCAGCCCTTAACTGGATTGGGGGGTGGGGTTGTAAAACCTGTAGTCTAGCCAGAGGACATGCTCTGCTGAAGACACTCAAATTAAAAACTTGTAAACTAACAACAAAACCCATTTGAGGGTTGAGGAATGACTCAGGAACCCCTGTTCTAAAAATATGTTCCTGCATACTTCTTACTGCTTTCTCTTCCTTAGCTACCAAGGAGCTTTCTATCTTTTTGTTTTCCTTACCTCAGTCTCAACCATCCTCTCCTCTGCCCACCCAATCTGCAGGAGGCTGTTTGGGACAGGATTCCCACCTGCGAGTATCATAGTCCAGGGTAAGTCCATTGGGCCAACCCAGGTCTGTGTTGATGAGGACCTTCCGTTCAGAGCCGTCCATATTCGCCCGCTCAATCTTGGCAATATGGCCCCAATCTGTCCAGAAGAGGTACCTGAGATACAACAGTACCATCATTATCAAGGAATGGTGCCAAGGGAAGACAGCACCCCGATATTGAAATACAGGGGACACAATGGTAACATTAATACATAGGCATCCTCCTAGGGCCTCTTCACCAGGCTTTTTTCCCTGGGTCTCCTTTCTGGTGGCCATAAACTTACCCCTTCCTGGGGAAAACAGCAATGGCCCGAGGCTCATCCAGGCTGTTGTTGATCAGCACTTTGCGGCAGGAACCATCGAGCCTTGATGCTTCAATGGTATTTCGGCCTGTGTCTGTCCAATACAGATTCCTGGCCACCCAGTCCACTGCCAGCCCATCAGTGGTCTTCAGCCCATGCCCAATCACTGTCTCCATATTGCTGCCATTCAGGTCTGCTCTCCTTGGGAACAGAGTTGGATGATTAACCAGATTGACCAGCAATAGACTGAAACTCCCTTAATCCACATTCCCATAATTGGATCACCACTAGACTCTAAGCTCCATAGGAGCAGAGGCCACACATCTATGAGTACATTCCTCAGCATCCAGCACAGCAGAGTCAAACTATTTGCAGAATTAATAAGTTACTGGGAAAACAGTGCTTCCTGCTATAAATAGTGGGTGTTTAGGCCCATGTCTTGCAGAAGACCAGTTAATAATTACCCATATACCTTAGGGAAGAGACAAGGATTGCTAAGTGGTGACTATAAGAAAGGCAGACTTCTCAAAACCTACCTGTGCATTTTTACAGAAGTCTTAGACTAGGGAATTCAAACTCAGGATAGGGAACATATCAGAATCAGGTGGGGGATACCTCCAAACTACATATGCCCACCTGCCCCACCATGAGAGTCTAATACACCCCTCAGAGAGAGCTAAGGGGAATGTCCTTGTCTCCACATGAGAATCTCTGCCATGCTAAACCCATCTTGGTTGTAGCAGGGCATCACATTCTTCAACCGTGTTGGGGTAAAAATTGAAAGAATAATAAAAATTAAAATAAAACAAAAAATATTTAAGAAAAACATGACCTTGTGAACAACTACAAGTCTTGACATTTGGCCAGGGCTCCTGTGTTATAGTACAGATACATGCTTTAACTATATGGCCTACTCATCAATGAGTCTTAGGAATACTTGGAGTCCCTGCAGGGCCCAATGACAGGAGTAGAAGGCCCCCAGCCTGACTTTATCTGTTTGTTTGTTTTACATACTGGGCTTCACTAATCTTTAAATAAACAAAAAACCAAAAGTTGGAAACTGCTGCAAGTAATGATACTATAAAGCAAACAAGTCAGGATCAGAACTCACCATCCATGCTGCCAAATTACTCAGTCCCCTTAGAAGTCAGTGGAGACCATAACCTCACCCGTCAGGGATTGAAAGTAAGTCTGTGTTCTCTGGAGATTTCAGATACCTGATAACATCCAGGAACACGTCCGTGTAATACACCTTTCCATCCACACTGTCATAGTCTAGGGAGATAACATTGTTGAGCTCAGGAACAGGTACGTGCACATCTGTGTGGTCGCTGGTGTCCAGGGAGATTCGCCGGATGGAGCCTCGGCTGGAGAAGAGCAGATAGGTCTCAGGAGAGGGATTGCAGGTCTTCCCATCTCCCTTCAGCTGGATGCCAGTAGGGCAGGCACAGGAGAAGCCAGAGGGCCGTGGCAAGCAGAGGTGGGAGCAGCCACCGTTTCTCAAGCCACACTTGTTAAAACCTGGTGAAGAGAGAAACACGAGCTTTGACACCCAGCCTAGAATATTGTCTGAATCTTACACAGGCATAGTTTCTTATGTCTGATTCTCTGCTGCTCTAAATGACAGGATTCAGTGCCTGGCATGAATGAGGTAGAAGGTCAAGGGGTGTTTCTCTCCAGGAGTCCTTTGAAGGTGACAGCAACATGCAGTTGTAGTTCCAGCAATGCCCAGAGGAACACAGCCTAATCCTGTAGGACACTTAGGCAGGTCCCTGTCTCTGTGATAGTAAAGGAATCTCTGTGCCCTGCATGTATCTCTGATGTTGAGATACCCTCAGAAAGCCAGACGCTCTGGCTCACAGACCTAGAGGGTCTTCTCACCCAGTGGCTGTGCCCGGTCCACAGCCTGGATGTCCATGAGACCTGGCAGGTTGGACCTCACCAGGATGACATTGCTGCCCGTACTCTTGTCGGCACGGTGGATGCTACGGGTCTGCCAGTCAGTCCAGTAGATATAGGATTTGAGCAGGGTAAGGCCATAAGGGTGCTGCACAGGTGACACCAGTGTATGACGATTGGCACCATTCAGGTCGGTGGCCTCAATTCGCTGTAGAGGAAGGAAAGGGTGATGGGTGGCTATCAGTAGATTGGAGCTCTCAGTGGAGATCCTGATCGGTACTCTCCTGTCCTCCCAGGCCTCTGGGACACAGCAGGAGCAGTACTCTCACCTCGGTGTGTGCATCAGCCCAGAGCAATTGGGAGTTGGCCTTGTCCACAGTCAGTCCATTGGGCCATCCCAGGTTGTTGTTGATGAGCACGCTCCGATTAGAGCCATCCATTCCAGATCTCTCTAACTTGGCGTTCTCCCCCCAGTCTGTCCAGTACATGAACCTGGGCAAGGAAGAACACTGGCCAGTTATTCCCACAGCTCTTATATATTACAAGTACTCACAACAGGCCAGGCACCAAGAAGAGTATTTTACATGCAAAAAAAGGGAGTTGTTTAATGAGTATAGGCTTTCAGATTTGCAAGATGAAAAAATTTGGGAGATCTGTTTCACAACAATGTGAAATACTTAATACTACTGAGTCTTACTCTTAAAATGGCTAAGGGGTCAATTTTATGTTACATTTTACCACAATTTAAAAGTGCTTTCCATGTATATCTCATGTAATTCTCATAAGAGCCATAAGGTATGCATTTTCCCTATTGCCTCCATTTATAGGTGAGGAAGCTCAGATGGATGAAGTACTGAACCCAAACTGATAGATACAGCTAATAAGTGGTGAAGGAATTTGAATACTGGAATTCTGTCTCCAAGGCTCATGCTTTTAAACTCTACACTATACTGCCACCCTGATTTAAGTCATAAGGGAGTGCAGCAGCTCCAGGGAGCTCGGTCTTGGTGCTTCTGCAAAGCATGCTTACTCTCCATTTTCCCCCTTCACCCCAACCAGATCCCCAGCTGAGCTGGCCTATCCTGCTGCCCAGAGCCCCAGAGCTAGCTCTCACCCCATCTCATGATACAGTACAATGGCCCGGGGGCTGTCAAGGTTCTGCCACACCAACACTTTCCGCATGGAACCATCCAGGTTGCCCACTTCAATCCGGTTGGTTCCGGTGTCTGTCCAATACACTTTCCGGCCAATGGCATCCACTGCGAGCCCATCTGTGGTCTGCAGCCCTGCAGGCATGAAGTCAAGAGAGCACACTGGCTGCTGCCTTAAAACAGATGGGATATTTCCCCAGCTCTGTAGCTACACAGGTGGCCCCTGGGCTGGGAGCAAGACCCACCTGTGGTGATGATGTCCTCATGCTGTGAGCCATCCAGATAGGCACAGCTGATCCTATGCAGTGTGCTGTCTGACCAGTACACTTTTCCTAGAAAGGGAGGCTTTGCTTAGCCTGGACCCTCACCTCCCCAGGAAGGGACACACACAGCTGATTCATGCCCTGAGGCAACAGAGCACCTCAGAGAACCCTATATCCTCTAGCAGAGAAAGTTAATGGACATGCAGAAATATCATAATAGGAGAGCTCTTGGCAGAGATGGAGAGGAAGGCCTCAAGTCATACCCTCATAACTAATTAGGAAGTGCTATAGAGAACAGTGCAGGGGCTGGGGCTGTGCCAGAGAAAAGGGGGAGGGGGAGTGACTCTAGGCTCTTAATAGGAGGCAAAGGTGGTGAGCAAGGAAGGATAGCTGTTGCTGTAGGGCAGGGGCAGAGGGCCAAGAGGGAAGGGAGGGTCACACAGACCTTCCCGGGGATCCACGCCAATGGCAATGGTGTTCTTCATGGTGATATTGATAGGTACCACCACATCGGCGAAGTAAGGGATGTCCAAGGAGACCATGCGTATATCTATCCTCCTGGCGAAGATGAGGAAACTATTCATGCCTGCCCAGGTTGGGAGAGAAGGAAAGAGGACAGTCACCCTAGAACAGCCACTAAGAGGATTTGAAGTAAGGCAAACTGAAGTACATGCCCTGTCTCTATTAGTTTCTCATTGTGTGATGCTGGACAAGTTATTTAAATTGTTTTAGTCTCAGTTCCATCATGTGTAAAATGAACACAATAGCAGGGTGGTTGTAGGATTAAGAGATCATGTACAGAAAGCACTTAGCATGGCTCTGACACATAGTAATAAATGATAGGTCTTTACTTATATTACAGAAGTGACCTCTTTGGAGGACCTTTTACCACAACTTGAAGAAACTTCATGTTAAGCTGAAAAAGGCTTTTCCTACAATCTGGGAGGTGCAATTCATAGCTCCTTTCTCACTCAAATTCCCTAGAGAGTTAGGGTTCAAATATGGCATACCAGCATCCCCTTCTGACATCTGGGCAGCCAGGTCCTGCTTCTGGGACCTTCCAATTAGGGCTGTCACATAGGTTGTACCAATTGTATATTGACAAAAGTACCACATCCAACAGGGGTACCATTATACTGTAGATAGCATATGTCTTAATATTTTATTGTACTGATTTTGGTCAGATAGAACTAAAGTGACTTATTCTAACTGAATCAGTATATTTTGACAATTTTCCATCAGAAGAAAGTGAAGTACAAGACAAAGGAGTATCATTTTCTAATATACATGAATACACCATAAAGCTAATGTGGCCCTGGAGTTTAAAGATGGTGGTGTGAGAGGTGAGATAGAAAACTCCTTCCAAAACCACATATATTATGAAAATACAGTTAATACAACTAATTGTAAAATAGCAACAGGAAAGAAGGCTGCGCCAGACTGCATATAACCTGGAGAACAGAGCAGACCTCACAAAAAAGGGTAGCATACCAAGGCCTTGATCCAGCGGGACCCAAGCCCTTCCCCAACCCCAGCTCACCAGTGGGAGGAAGAGAAACTGAGTGGGGAGGGGGTGGAAGCTTAGGACTGCTGAACACCCAGCTCTGGAGATCTGCTTTGGGAGCACAAACCTACATTGCATGCTACTCTGGAGATTAGTGGGATTGGAAAGCTAAGACAGGTGTAAAACTTGGAGAGATTGAGATTCGAGCTGTTTGTGGAGGACAGGCATCTGGCTGCTCTGGGACAAAGGAAAGGGAGGCAATCTGAGACACTTCCTAGCAGCAAGAGCGTTGCTGAAGGAGCAGAGATTGCCCAGAGATTGCTGCTCAGGAGAAGGGATAAGTGGACAAGGTCGTCTGGGCGCACTCTGCCCAGAAGGTTAGGAACTTTCAAGAGCTTTAGGCACTCCATGCCCCTGGCTGGCTACTCAGCCCCAAGGCCTCCACTGTGATACATAGCCTGCTGTACCTTCCTCCTGGCCTGCTGGCACCAGTGCAAACTGGTAGTCCCTGTCCTGGCATCAGGCCAGCCGGAGGGAGGCCATGCCTACAGCGGCTACAAATGCAGAGCATAGAGGCTTACACCTGTATGCCTGGCCCACTGGTTTTGACAGTGGAGCCAGGCGCTGCAGTCAGTAAGCAGGAAACAGCTCATTCCTCCCCCCAGGCACCAGTGTCACTCCAGTGCAACACCCAACATCACTCCAGGGGCTGAGCAGCTTCAGAGAGCAGAGTTTCTGGGCACTAGAAGGCACCACATACAAATATGAAATGTCCAAGGAACCTGGTTCAACCCAAAATCTCATAAACACCAGAAAAAGCACCAAGTGAAACTGAACTCACCAATCTTCCAGAAAGAGAGTTCAAAATAAAAATCATAAACATGCTCATGTAGGTACAGAAAAATATTCAAGAACTCAGGGATGAATTTAGGATGGAATTTCAATCAAAAAGAAATTTCATATCTGAAATGAAACATACAATGGAGGGATTTAAAAGCAGATTAGATATAGTAAAAGAGATGGTAAATAGAATAGAAATTAGAAAAGAGGAATACAAAGAAGCTGAGGAAAAGAGAGAAAAGAGGATCTCTAGGAATGAAAGAATATTGAGAGAACTGGGTGACTCATCCAAACAGAATAATATTTGTATTATAGGGGTACCAGAAGAAGAAGAGAGAGAAAGGGGATAGAAAGTGTCTTTGAGGAGGTAATTGCTGACAACTTCCCCAATCGGGGGAATGAGGTAGTCTCTCAGGCCATGGAGGTACACAGATTTCCCAACACAAGGGACCCAAGGAAAACAACACCAAGACATATAATAATTAAAATGGCAAATATCAAGAATAAGGACAGACTTCCAAAACAGCTAGAGAGAGAAAAAAGATCACATGCAAAGAAAAACCCATCAGGCTATCATCAGACTTCCCAGAAGAAACCTTACAGGCCACAAGGGAGTGGCATGATATATTTAATGCAATGAAACAGAAAGACCTCCAACTAAGAACACTCTACCTGGCAATATTATCATTTAAATTTGAAGGAGATATTAAACAATTTTCAGGTAAGCAAAAGGTGAGAGAATTTACCTCCCAAACTACCTTTACAGTATATTTTGGAGGGACTGCTATAGATGGAAGTGTTGCTAAGGCTAAACAGCTGTCAACAGGGGAAATATAACCACAGTAAAGAAAGTACAAGAATTAGTTATTAAGCAGAAGCAAAATCAAACCAACTACCCCCAAAGTCAATCACAGGACAGACAAAGAATACAGAATGTGATACTTAATATATAAAGAAAGGAGGAGGAAGAAAAATGAGGGAAAAAAAAGAACATTTAGGTTGTGTTTGTAATACCATACTAACTGAGTTAAATTAGACCATTAGATAGTAAGGGCATTATCCTTGAACCTTTGGTAACCATGAATCTAAAGCCTACAATAGCAATAAGTACACATGTATCAACAATCACCTTAAATGCAAATGGCCTGAATGCACCAATCAAAAGACATGCAGTCACTGAATGGATAAAAAAACAAGACCCATCTATATGCTGCTTAGAAAAGACTCACTTCAAACCCAAAGACATACACAGACTGAAAATGAAGAGATGGAAAAAGATATTTCATGGAACTAACAGGGAGAAAAAAGCAGGAGTTGCAATACTTGTATTAGACAAAATAGACTTTAAAACAAAGAAAGTCACAAGAGACAAAGAAGGGCATTACATAATGGTAAATGGGTCAGTCAACAAGAGGATATAACTATTATAAATGTCTATGGATCCAACACAGGAGCACCAACATATGTGAAACAAATACTAACAGAATTATAAGGGGAAATAGAATGCAATGCATTCATTTTAAGACTTCAACACACCACTCACTCCAAAGGACAGATCAACCAGACAGAAAATAAGTAAGGAGACAGAGGCACTGAACAATGGTATTAGGCCAGATGGCCCTGATGGACATCTACAGAACACTCCATCCAAAAGCAACAGGATACACATTCTTCTCAAGGGCACACAGAACATTTTCAAGAACAGATCACATACTAGGCTACAAAAAGAACCTCAGTAAATTTTAAAAAATTGAAATTTTACCAACCAGCTTCTCAGACCACAAAGGTATAAAACTAGAAATAAATTACACAAAGAAATGAAAAAGCCCACAAACACAGGGAGGCTTAATAACATGCTCCTAAATAATCAATGGATCAATGACCAAATAAAAACAGAGATCAAGCAATATTTGGAGACAAATGACAACAATAATTCAACACCCCAAAATCTGTGGGATGCAGTGAAGGCCATGCTAAGAGGGAAGTAAATTGCAATACAGGCCTACCTCAGGAAAGAAGAACAATCCAATATGAACAGTCTAAACACACAATTAACAAAACTATAAAAGAAGAACAAATGAGGCCCAAAGTAGGCAGAAGGAGGCACATAATAAGGATTAGAGCAGAAATAAATAAAATCAAGAAGAATAAAACAATAGAAAGAATCAATGAAAGCAAGAGCTGGTTCTTCGAGAAAATAAATGAAATAGATAAACCCCTAGTCAGACTTATCAAGAAAAAAAGAGTCTATACACATAAACACAATAAAAAATGAGAAAGGAAAAATCACTATGGATTTATGAGAGAATACTATGAAAAATTACATGGTAACAAACTGGATAACTTAGAAGAAATGGACAACTTTCTAGAAAAATACAACCTTCCAAAGGTGATCCAGGAAGAAACAGAAAATCTGAATAGACCAATTACCAGCAATAAAACTGAACTGGTAAACAAAAAACTACCTAAGAACAAAACTCCTAGTCCAGATGGCTTCATCGTTGAATTTTATCAAACATTTAGTGAGGACCTAATACCCATCCTCCTTAAAGTTTTTCAAAAAGTAGAAGAAGAGGGAATAATTCCAAACTCATTCTGTGAGGCCAGCATCACTCTAATACCAAAACCAGGCAAAGACACCACAAAAAAAGAAAATTACAGACCAATATCCCTGATAAACATAGATGCAAAAATACTCCACAAAATATTTAGCAAACCGAATTCAAAAATACATTAAAAAGATCATCCATCATCATCAAGTAGGATTTATTCCAGGGATGCAAGGATGGTACAACATTCGAAAATCCATCAGCATCATCCACCACATTAACAAAAAGAAGGACAAAAACCACATGATAATCTCCATAGATGCTGAAAAAGCATTCAACAAAATTCAACATCCATTCATGATAAAAACTCTCAACAAAATGGGTATAGAGGGCAAGTACCTCAGCATAATAAAGGCCATGTATGACAGACCCACAGTCAACATTATACTTAATAACGAGAAGCTGAAAGCTTTTCCTTGGAAACACAAGAAGGATGTCCACTCTCCCCACTTTTATTCAACATAGTTCTGGGGGTCCTAGCCACAGCAATCAGACAACACAAGGAAATAAAAGGCTCCCAGATTGGTAAGGAAGAAGTTAAAGTGTCCCTGTTTGCAGATGACATGATATTGTATATAAAAAACCCTAAAGGATCCACTCCAAAACCACTAGATCTACTATCTGAATTCAGCAACATTGTAGGATACAAAATTAATACACAGAAATCTGTTGCATTCCTATACACTAACGATGAACTAGCAGAAAGAGAAATCAGAAAACAGTTCCATTCACAACTGCATCAAAAAGAATAAAATACCTAGGAATAAACCTAACCAAAAAGGTGAAAGACCTATACCTGAAAACTACAAGACACTCTGAAGAGAAATTAAAGAGGACACTAACAAATGGAAATTCATCCCATGCTTTTGGATAGGAAGAATTAATATTGTAAAAATGGCCATCCTGCCTAAAGCAATCTACAGATTCAATGTGATCCCTATCAAAATACCAACAGCATTCTTCAATGAACTAGAGCAAATAGTTCTAAAATTCATATGGAACCACAAAAGACCCCGAATAGCCAAAGCAATTATGAGAAGGGAGAATAAAGTGGGGGAGATTATGCCCCCCGACTTCAAGCTCTACTAAAAAGCCACAGTAATCAAGATAATTTGGTACTGTCATAAGAATAGAGCTATGGACCAATGGAACAGAGCCCAGATATAAACCCAAGCATATATGGTCAATTAAAATATGATAAAGGATCCATGGATAAACAATGGGGAAATAACAGCCTCTTCAACAGCTTGTGTTGGCAAAACTGGACAGCTACATGCAAGTGAATGAAACTGGACTATTGTCTAACCCCATACACAAAAGTAAACTCAAAATGGATTAAATACCTGAATGTAAGTCATGAAACCATAAAACTCTTAGAAGAAAATGTAGGCAAAATCTCTTGAATATCAACATGAGCAATTTTTTTCCAAACACATCTCCTCAGGCAAGGGAAACAAAATAAAAAATGAACAAATGGGACTACATCAAGCTAAAAGCTTCTGTACAGCAAAGGACACCATCAGCAGAACAAAAATGACATATCCAACAAGGGTTAACATCCAAAATATATAAAGGATTCACATGCTTCAACACCCAAAAAGCAAATAACCCTATTAAAAAATGGGCAGAGGATATGAACACACATCTCCAAAGAAGAAATTCAGATGGCCAACATGCTCCATATCACTAATTATCAGGGAAATGCAAATTAAAACCACAATGAGATATCACCTCACACCAGTTAGGATGGCCAACATAGAAAACCCTAGGAACAACAAATGCTGGCGAGGATGCAGAGTAAGGGAACCCTCCTACACTGCTGGTGGGAATGTAAAGTAGTTCAACCATTGCAGAAAGCAATACGGAGGTTCCTCAAAAAACTAAAAACAGAAATACCATTTGACCCAGGGATTCCATGCTTATGAATTTACCCAAAGAAAAAACTTCTAAGATTCAAAAAGACATATGCACCCCTATGTTTACTGCAGCCCTATTTACAATAGCCAAGATATGGAATCAACCTAAGTGTTCATCAACAGATGAATGGATAAAGATTTGGTACATATACACAGTGGAATACTATTCAGCCATAAGAAAGAAAACAAATCCTACCATTTGCAATAACATGGAAGGAGCTACAGGGTATTATGCTCAGTGAAATAAGTCAGGCAGAGAAAGACAAATACCAAATGATTTCCCTCATTTATGGAGTATAACAACGAAGCAAAACTGAAGGAACAAAATAGCAGCAGACTCACAGCTCACAGACTCCAAGAAGGGACTAGTGGTTACCAAAGGGAAGAGACTGGGGAGGGCAGGTGGGGAGGGAGGGAGGGAGAAGGGGCTTGTTGGGTATCATGATTGGTACACATGGCATATGTAGGGTCACGGGGAAGACAGTGTAGTTAGGAGAAGAAAAATAGCGGCTCTGTGGCATCTTACTACATTGATGGACAGTGACTGCAATGGGGTATGAGGGGGACTCGATAATAAGGGTGAATTTAATAACCACATTGATTTTCTTGTTAAGCCTTCATAAGAGTGTATATCAATGATACCTTAATAAAAGAAAGTACTATTAAAACAAACAAACAAACAAAAAAAAAAAAACTAATGGGGCCCTGCCTCTAATCCTGTCTGTCTGCTCCCTTGGACCTCTCCTCTTTTCTAAAAGTTCTTTGTCTCCCCTAAGCCTCTAAAAGCACCAGGATTTATGGTTTGTCATACTACACTAGAGTTCATGCAACATAGGAAGAGAGCCACTGCCCCTTCTAGAGAGGCTCTATCCAGGTCTGTGATGCTTAGACTCACCGGGTGAACATGTCTTGCCATCAGTCATCAGGTTGATACCTGTAGGGCAGGTACAGCTGAAGCCATTTGGATTTGGGGACCGAAGACACAGATGGCTGCAGCCACCATTCTCCAAGGCACATGGTGTGGACACTAGGTAGGGAGGAAAAAAGGGGTAAGTGGGGAGGATACAGCAGAGGAAGGCCAAGGAGAAGCCAGTGCAGAGTAAGGCATGCTCACTTGGGGGCCGCCGTCGGTGGAAGACATGGATGTCCATAAGATTCTCCAAATTCTCCTGCAGGGTTTCCCGGTCCAGCCCTGTCAGCCGGTCAGCACTCTGTATACTTTTGGTCTGCCAGTCAGTCCAATAGATGCGCTCTCCATACAGGGTTAGCCCAAATGGGTGAGGTAGCTGGCTTCCAATCAGCACCTGCCAGGGCCCCAGCACTTGGGTCATCCATTAGCAAGGTCTGACTGTACAGAGCAGCAGCCAAGAGCTCAGGCATGGAGTCAGACTGTAGTTCTGCCACTACCACCTGCCGTATGACCTTGAGCAAGAGCTGGTAAATCTCTCTGAGCCTTGGTCTGCCAACCAGTGATATGATCATGCCAGTGCCTGGCTCCAAGGATTGTGTGATGATTGTATTCGTTACAAAATGAAAAACAGCAACTTCACAGTGGACACCACTTTATCTACACAAAATTAATATAATAATGGGACAAACCAACATCTGTGCCTACTCAAGTAGACACACTGAGAACTCAGAACATGACTCTATTGAATGTAGTATTCCTGCCCTAAACACATAATCTGAATCTAATCACAAGGACACATCAGACAAATTAAGGGACATCCTAAAAAATAACTGGCATTAACTCTTTAAAAACGCAAAGTTCAGGAAAGACACAGAAAAGAATTATTTCTTTGACTAGATGGGATAAATAATTCTGAAGAAGTATTCCAGATTAGAGATGAAAGAGTAATCATGTCTCTTTTTGGAGACATGACTAAACATAACTGTGATCTGGGATTGGATCCTAGGCTAAAAAAATTTTTTTAATCTATAAAGTATATTATTGGATAATTGGTGGTGAACTTGAATGTGGATGTGGACTAGACAGTAACAAAGTATCAATGTCAAATTTCCTGATTTTGATAATTGTGTTAGGGTTACATTACACAATTTCTTGTTCTTAGGAAATATGATCTGGAATAATTTGGGGTCAAGGGCAGGATGTCTCCAAGTTAATCTCAGGTGGTTCAGAAAAGTAATAATATGCATGTACATATTGTATAGATAGAATGAGAATGTTACAACAGTGTGGCAAAATGTTATTGATTCTTTTGACTGTTCTTACAACTTTTCTGTAAACTTGAAATTGTACCAACAAACAATAACAAAAATGGAGGGATCCTGGGTTTAGTATGTAGTTGGTGATTAAGTTGTGATGGTTATTAGGGAAGTCTGTGCACTTACACTGCCAGTCCACAATCCACACAAATCCCTGGTTTCCTTTCATCATCAAACAACAAGGCTCCCTGCCCCCACCCCAACCCCCAGCCCTGGAAGGTAGTCACAGCACATGCCCCATGACAGTCCCGTCACCCCTGGGTCTTCCTAGATCCTGTTAGCTGCCAGCCAGGGAGTGTTGTCCTGGAGTTTGGCAGGGTTGTGGGAAGAGGCCTCAGTGCCACCCTTACCTTCCTCTTGCTGCCATCCAGCCCAGCAAATTCAATTGTCTTCATGCCAGCATCAGCCCAGTAAAGCCTCTGGGACCCGTAGTCAATAGCTAATCCATTAGGCCAGGTCAGATTGGAAGAGATGATGATCTGGCGACCCGAGGCATCCATACCAGCTCGTTCAATCTTGGGGCTTGCACCCCAGTCAGTCCAATACATGTACCTGGGCACAGGTAAGAGAGGTCTTATACAAGTGAACACCCAGTGGGAATTCCGGGTGCCTAGAGTTTCAGGGTTTCTGTGTGCAATAGCTGTCCCAGGCCCCTGCCTCAATTCCCAGCTCTATCCTGGGCTCAGAACTGCCTCTGAAAGTCTTGTATCTTCTATCACTATCAAAGGCACCCCAGAGTTTTAATAAAGGCAGAGCCCAATGGCTCAAGGAATATTTAGCAAATAAGGCCTGTTTGGGAATAAAGAAAGAGGGCAAATTAGGATAGGTAATAAGAAATGCTTCCTTGACTAGATGGATTAAATAATTATGGTACATAAATTTAACAGAATTTTATATAGTCACTAAGAAGTACAAAGTAGATCTATATTAGCAAATGGAAAGATATCCAAGACACACAGCCAAGTTAAAAAAAAACGCAAGTTACAAAACAGTATGCCATTGCTGTATAACCAAAACCACCACTACAAACAAATGTATGTATACATGAAGAAAATCTGGAATACCCTAAATAGTTAACAAACGGTTATTGCTGGAGAGGGAATCTTCACTTTCTACAGATTTGTTTATTTTTAAACAATAAGTTACTTTTGTAAGCAGATAAAAAAAAAAGGATGAAAAATTAATAGGTTTCCTTGTCTACCAAGGAGATTGAGTTGCCTGTGGTTTCTGCTGCCTTGCTGTCTTTGTGTACCCATAAGATTTGGCCACTCTCGCTAACCTCTAGATTTCTCTCTAGCGCTCAGATCTGGAGGGTGGGTGGAGCTTGTTCCAAAGGGGCAGGTGCTCACCCGCCCATGGGTTCCACCACAATGTCCCGGGGACGATCAAGGTTTTCCCAGAGGAGTACTGTCCTCATGCTGCCATCTGTGTTGGCCACTTCAATCCGGTCTGTACCTATCAAGAAGTAAGGGGCAAAGATATTAACTCTAGTTTCAGTCATTCACCCTACTATATTCCATGCCCAGTGCAGAACCTGGCATACAGTGGACTCTCAAGACATATTCTGTGAAAGATGTGCAGTGGCTATTTAGTGAATCCAATTTTGAGAAGAAATTTAAGGATGTAATCAGCTCCATTTCTTCAAAGAGCAAATCGTTCTTCACCCAAGCAAACACTCTGTCTTATAAATTAAGACAATGTTTCTCAAACTTTAGTGGGCACTACAATTAGAGGACCTTTTTAAAGCACAGTTTCCTGAACCTAACCCTGAGGATTCTGATTCAGCAGGCCTGGGGTGGGGCCCAAGAATCTGCATCTCCAAGAAGTTCCCAGGCAATGCTCATGCTGCTGGTTCAGGGACCACACTTTGAGTAGCTCTGGTTTAAGGCATTCCACTTGCCTTCCACACTCACCTGGCTAAAAGAAATAGTCTGTTTTACTAAGACAGTGATGGAAGGAAAACCACAGGGCATAGTTTCTGTATCTGAAAAGGCCTCAAAACATTCTTGAACATCATCTCCACAACAGAAGTAGCTGTCATTTGACTGGCAAATGCCAGACCTTCAGATGTGAGCTTCTAGCTTTGCTATGCAGCAGCCCCACCACGCTTGATCTATCTAGGACTTCAGGTTGAGACACAGGTGGTCTCAGAGGGGCACTGGGCTCCTTCCACTAAAGTCTGGGATTTTAATAAGATGAATCCCAGAGAGCCAGACCACGGCTGTCCTGTACATACCTGCATCTGTCCAATACAGCTTGTTGGTGACCCAATCAATGGCCAAGCCTGCTGGGCTCTCCAAACTGGTATCCACTACCACCTGGAAGCAGGAAGCAAAGCTGTACAATCACCTCAGCTCTGGGGCCCAAACCTTACCAATTCTCAAGACTGGCAAAGGTAAGGGAAGCCTTTACCCAGGAAAAGGTTGGATTCTACCCTTCCATCTCTGTTCTCCCTGAGGGCCTGGGCCCATACTTGGCCCTACCTCCTGTCCTGTTCCATCCCACTTGGCCCTGCTGATGGTGTCAGTGCTGACATCTGTCCAGTACATGTAGTCATCCCGGGAGTCCCAGTCAAGGGCCACAGCACTGCGCACGTCAGCCAGTGGGATGACATCGTCAGACAGGTCTTCTGTGTCGAAGCTGATCCGACGGATGTCCATCCTTCGGGCAAAAAGCAGGAACTTGTCAAGACCTGATCAAAGGCCGAAAGGGGTCTTCTTTTAATGCTCTACATCCAAAAACAGTGACAGACACAGACTCTCACCTGTGTGATACTTGGTTCAATCACATTTCCTGGGATCTGGTGCCCTTTATCCCTTACACTTAACACCTCAGACCCTGTTGAGCACTGGGAAGCCCATGTGCACAGCATCAGACTTAGGATCAAATGGAAATAGACTCCACCTGGGGCCCAGAAGTGCATCGTGTTTAAGTGTCTGTCGGTCCCTTCTCTACTTTCCTCTTTCTTTGCTCAGTCTCCTCCAGTGCACTGGCTAGATCAGCCCACACCCCACCTCTCTGACCTCTGATTCAGGGCTGCTGCAGCTCCACTCATTATCTAGACCCCTTCCTCTTGCTCTTCTCTTGGCAATGTTGACCAGTAATGAGGGCACTTCATGCTTTTTTTTTGCCCTGTCTCCTTTACTCTCATAGTGACCCTTTGTGGTCCATAGTATTCTCATTGTCATTTTCTAGATGAGCAACCTTGAGGTTAACCAAGGTCAAGTATCTTGTCCAGGATCCCTGGGTTACAAAGAAGCTGGGACTTGAACTCAGGTCTGACTCCAGAGAAGGAGCTCTGGCTACTCCCTATACATGTAGCTTCTTTCTGGCTGGCTCTTCTCTGTCCCTTGACCCTATTCTGGTCTGTCTGAATATTTTCCAGTGTATTTTTCTGACTGGAAAGGCACTTCCTGCCTAACTATCACCTGCCTTCCTTTAAGCTCTGGGAAACCCTTAACGGGAGGTTCCTGGGGAAACCTCTTAACCTCACTAGAACAATAAGAGTTGGGGACAAAACAAAGCAAGGAAATCAGGTTCTCCATCAATGTGTGTTGAATGAATATTGCCCTGTTCCTCTAAATAATTTCCCTAAACTCACTCTCTAGAAAGGAGCCAGATCCCAAGAGACTTGAATTTAATCAGAGATAAGAGGGTCAGTGGGTACACAGTGGTAATTAAGAGCAGCTGCTGATGTGTGACGAATTACTCCTAACCCCTTGCTGGTAGTGCCATATGCCTGGATCACCCCTAGATCTCTGGACTATTTTTAGGAAAAGTTGCCTGTGGCTCTGAGTTAGACAGGGCCACCCTCTCAAGGCACTACTCCTGCAGGAGCTTAAAGGAACCTAAAGTACCAGTTCAGGGAGTAACCAGGAAATCCCATTTCCTTTCACTATTTAGACACATATTTATCCAGGGCCTATGTATACAGAGCATCATGAGTAAACCAAATCTTGGCTCTCTGGTTTAGGGGCTGAAAGAAAATCTTTAACAGGGTATAGCTCAAAGTTAAGAGATAGGAAACCTTTCCCCTGCTTTCCAGAAGGGCCTGGAATCTTCTTGCTGCCTATAGATGAAGCATCCTACCAGGTGAAATGGTACACAGGCTGGTTGCAGCCATTCATACACAACTGGGTGGCGTCACTGAGCCTTCAGCAACCACTGCTGAACCCTTAGCCCTCAGACCTTGGCTTTGATACAGGAGCTCTCAGCCTCTTAAGTTCTTCCTCTCCAAGGGTTACCTGGGGAGCCTGACTCTTACCCATGCTGTGCAATCCCTCGAATTCCTACTCCCATCGCCTTCCACCCACCCTCACAAGGCACACCCGTGAGGCAGGTGCCCCAGACCCACTTACTCTGAGCACAGGCGTGGCTGCTGATCTTGCGGAAGCCAGTGGGACAGGCACAGGTGTAGTTCTGGCCACTGGGCAGACACAGGTGGGTGCAGCCTCCATTGTTGTCCCCACAGTGGTTTTTTCCTGCTCAAAGAGCCCAGAGCAAGAGGATCAGGTAAGACCAAAGGTTGGCAGAGGTGGTCCCAAGGCTAGTGAGTAGAGGTGTAACTAGGGTGTGAGTGACCTGGAGACACTAACTGTGTCTTATTATATTTTACATCTGCCCCAGCTATAAGCACTGTGAGTACTCGACACATAGGAGATGCTCTATAAATCTTTGCATGAATTAGATGGGGATAGTGAAGCAGATTGTCTCAATGTTGTACTACCCTAAAAGTCCAACAGAGAGAGTAATTAGCCCATATCAGTGCTAACCTCAAATTTCCATGCCAGAAACAGTGGCAACTATTGACCCCTGCAGGGAAGATTCTCAGAAGCACCAGAGGTTTACCAGGTGTGTAGTTTTTTACCTGTAGGCTGGCGTTGGGGGTGCAAGGTATGGATGTCCATGGGGAAGTGGAGTTTGTTGCGAATGATCTCCTGGTTCTTGCCAGTAAATTTGTTAGCACTATTGATGCTCTTGGTATGCCAGTCTGTCCAGTATAAGCTATCTTCAAACACTGTGATGGCAAAAGGATGTGGGAGGCCTGGGGAAAGTCCAGGGAGACTTTGGTTCAGACACAATCCCTGGGCACAGGCCTGGCAACTGCACAAATCTCACCTTCTGCTAAGGCTCCTAGGGGCCAAGATGAGGTAAAGAGGATGAGAGATAGAGGAGAATGGAGGAAAGGCCTCACCTTGGCTAATGACAGCCTTGCGGTGACTCCCATCCAGATTGGCCCTCTCAATGACATGGTGCTTAGCATCCACCCAGTACATACGACGCCCGGCATAGTCAATGGTAAGGCCATTGGGCCAGAAGAGATGTGTATCAGCGATGATGCGGCGTCTAGAGCCATCCATGCTGGAGGCCTCGATGCGGGGAGTGTTGCCCCAGTCTGTCCAATAAATAGTACTAGAAAGGGAGAAAAGGAAATGGAGAGACAAGCAGAAGAGGGAGGGTAGGTAACTGGGATAGTAATCAAGCAGGGAGCTTTTATCCATTTAACTCAGGGGACCCCAACTGGTAGGAGACACATGCTGTTTGGTCCATGGAGTGTTTTTTAAAATGTTTGAACTTAAATGTTTTTAGACAAGACATTTATTAACAATTTTTTTCTGGTATATATGCTATGAACAGGGCACTCTCTTAGGCATTGGGAGTGCAGCACTGAACAAAATGCAAAAATCCCAATCCTTATGGAATTGACAATACTGTATAATATTAGGACACAGGCACTTTTTCTTTGTCACAATCTGTATGATTATCTTTTGTAATTATACACAGACAAAAACACACTTTATTTCTAAAACAAGATGACCTACAACTCCTGGATCTTAGAGGACACCCCCCCTCAATTGATACATTAAAAATTTCTAAGCCAGAGGCTAAGAACTTCCAATGCAGGAGACTTTTTTCTAATAATAAAAATTATTATTATTAATTAGCTTAATACCATGAACTAATAATAAAAATACTAAACACCTACAACTTCTCTAATGTATATTATGCCATTTAAAATGTATCTCATTTTGGACAGGTTGAAGGGGGTCAAAAGGTACAAACTTCTAGTTGTAAAATAAATAAGTCATAGGTATATAATGGGCAGCATGGTGACTATAGTTAATAATCCTTTATTGCATATACAAAGGTTGTTAAGAGAGTAGATCTTAAAAGTTCTCCTCACAAGAAAAAAACATTTTGTAACTATTGCATGCTGATGGATATTAACTAGATTTATTGTGGTAATCATCTGCAATATAAGCAAATACTGAATCATTATGTTGTATACCTGAAACTAAATATAATTTGTATGTTAATTACACCTCTATTAAAAAATGTGTCTCATGTAATCTTCATACAGCTATGAGGTAGGTATGTTTTCTCATCACCAATTTAGAAGTGAGAAAATGGAAGCAGAAAGGCTAACTAGCCCAAGGCCCCAGTCAGTTTCTATAGAGCCAGGACTCAAAGCAGGGTGTGTCTGGGTGCAGAATCCATGCTGTTAACACCACACTGTGAGAATGTTTCCAAATAAAGTCCAGGTCGCCTGGGGACTGTCCTTAGAGGTTGCAAGAGGGACTTGGGAGCTTGAGACACAACTCACCCCTCCATGGGGTGCAAGGCAATGGCTCGGGGCTTCTCGAGGTTCTGCCATAGCAGCACCTTCCGGTGACCTCCATCCAGGTTGGCCACCTCAATCCTTGATGTCCCTGAGTCGGTCCAGTAGAGTTTGTCATGGACCCAATCCACAGCCAGGCCCCCTGGTGAAAAGAGGCAAAGGAAATATGTCAGGGATTTAGCCCAGGCTCCTATGTGTGATAGTAACAAGAGAAAACTCTAGCATGAAGCAGTTTCTTGGGCCAGGCTTTTTCCAACAGTTTTACATTTATTAACTTGTTTAGTCAGCACAACCAGTCTGTGGGCTAGACACTATAAACCCCATGGAGATAAAGAAACAGGCACATAGAAGTCAAAGTGATGTGTGTCCTCCTCTCAGCTAACCATATTCCACTACCTGAATCCTGGCTCCCTGATCCATACCCAGGGTCCCCCCACTGCACTGGCTCCAGGGATTTGCAAATTAGTTTTGTAGAGCTATTTCAGGATTTCCATAAGCATTTGAATCAAATATGCTCAATACCAAATTCTAACCCACTTAACTGCTTGTAGAATGGCCTAAGAGTATGAGGTGATTTATTGGTTTTTGTAATCTATAAACCTTTGGATATATTTATCTGGGTTGATCAGAAAATCCTTAATACTAAGCAATCAAAACAAAATTCAGAATTAAACTGGATGCTAAGGTTGATAGAGAATTTTAACTGTCATCCATAAATCTCTGATTTCAAGTGATTACATTTATCAAAACAGTCTCATTCTCACTGAGCTAAAAAATGAGTAAAGGTTATAAATCTGAACCTATAAAATTAATGTATACCACCAAATGTTTTCTGTATTAGAGTTCCATCCAAGATTTCACTGGGAGAGAAAGATATTCTACTGCCTAATATTTCAAGCCACTAGCCTGTTCCTTCCATGGTCGCTTTGCTCATGGTGTGGCCCTGTCCCTTCCCATGGGCCTGTTCCCTACCTGGGCTCTCGAGCCCTGTAGACACAACCTCCTCTACGCTACTGCCATTGAGGTTGGCACGGAGGATACGGTCCAAGGTGACATCTGACCAGAAGACAAGCTTGCGCTGGTGGTGGAAATCAAGGGCAATGGCGTTCTCCAGGTTGTTGAGCAGCAGTGTGTACTCAGAGCGGTGCGGCAGCACCTGCCGGATGTCGATGCGATTGGCAAACAGTAGCACAGGCTCCGGCCCTGGGACGTGGCATAGAAATGGGGCCCCCAGTGGGCTCCAGAGCCACCCCTGGTACCCCTCAGCCTGCACTCCCAGTACCTCTGACAGGTGGGGCCCTTGCCCACTAGGGCATGTCCCAAGCTGTCAGCATCAGTATTAGAATAGCAGGAGCCTTCAAGGTATACTCTCCCTCCCCAGCCCAGAGGCTTTTTCTTGGGTCCCAGAATGCAACCGCCAGTTCCATTTTACCAAGATAGAAAATCTCTCTACCTCAGCAAATCCTGGATCAGGGGATAATCTGGCTGTCTCCATGCTCAGCCAAATGCCAACACTCCTTACCCAGAGCCTTGCAGCTGCGCCGGTCGGGCCGGAGTTCATAGCCTGCTTCACACCAGCACTGGAAAGCCCCTTCGGTGTTGGTACAGCCCTGACTGCAATACCCCTCCTCAGCACATTCATTCACATCTGTGGAGATGGGTGGGGTCAGATCTCTGTCCTGCCATATTCCCAACCCAACTCCCAGGCTGACTAGCTGCTTTCCTTCCCACATACCCATCTACTTTCCAAGCCTAGTGGAAGGCTATATAACAAGTAGGTAAGGGCTTCCGAGGTCATGCAGACCTAGGCTGGAATCTTAACTCTGCTGCTCTGTGGCCTTTAGTAAATTACATCCCATCTGTGAAGTGGGAGGGATAATCCCACTTCCTGAGGTTACTGTGATGATGAAATGAGGTCGTGTCTGTCAAATGCCAGACCCATAGGGAATAAACCTGCCCAGATCCTGGCCCTGCTTACCATGGCACATATGCCCATCCTCTGTGAGTCGGTAGCCTGTGTGGCAGGTACACTGCACTGTCCCCCGTACCATCTGGCACTTCTGGGTGCAGCCACCGTTGTTCACATTGCAGTTCTCCTCACCCATCCAGGGTCCTGTGCCAGCCAAGCCAGAGTTGAGCCCAGATGAGTTGAGCCCAGAATCCTCCCCCAGACAGCCAAGTTGGCATTCCACCTGGACCACAAAGAACAGCTCCAGAGGCTGCAGAGTGCCTCAGGAGGATCTCTTTGAACTGAATGGGTGGGGTTCAGCCACAAACTATGGGCCAGGCCTGCCCACTGGGGACACTCACGGCAGTTCTGCTGTGGGTTTTCATCACTGCTGTCACCACAGTCATTGACCCCATTGCACAGCTTCCTTTGCCCAATGCAGCGCCCATTCCAACACAGGAATTGGTCAAGGGCACACTGGGGATTTCCTGGATGGGGAAGAAGGGAAGTGGGGAGGGAGAGAGAGTCAGGTCACAGCAGGGCAGGGCTTGGGTTAACAAAGGATGGGAGCCTGTTATTTTCTAGGGGGAGCTGGAGACAGATGAGACTCAAGGTGGGAGGGTTGGGGTCCTAGACAGGAAACAGCTCAGACAGAGCTGGCTGCATATCTGCATTCGTTTTCTCTCCCTGACAGCACACTAGGAAGGTGAGGGATGTGGGACAGAACGAGAGTACACTGTGTGTCTGGCACCCTATGCGGCTAGGGGAGTGGTTGTGGGATCTGCTAGCCACAGACAGCAGTCTTTGCTCACTAGGCCAGAGCCACAGGCGCTGCTGTATGTGAGTTAAGAGTGTAAACAGCAACTGAAACTCACAGCCCTGATACTGTATTCCAGGCCATAGGCTGAAGGTCAAAAAATGCCCCTGGGTTTGACCCTGGTAACTGAGAAGGGCAGGAAAGACCCAGGCCAAGGCAAGATCTACTAAAGCATTGTGTTGGCCCAACTGGACAAGCAGCAACTTTCCACCCCATCCTCCAACCTAACTGTGGGTTAAGGGGTAGTGGACACCATGGAAACTACCTGTGTTCTCACAGTTCTCTTCATCGCTGTTGTCTGCACAGTCGTTCTCCCCATCACAGCGCCATGACAGGCGGATACAGCGGCCTGACCGACAACGGAACTGTTCTGCTGTACACATTGAGGTGGCTGGACAAAGCAAAAGCCTAATGAAAGGATGGCTCTGTTTTAACTCAAAGCTCCCTCCTGCCACCCAACACTGTACTTTATGCCAGGACCTATGCTGTTCTTCTTGACACCAGTGTCACAGTTGGTCTATCTATGGTATCTTTGCACAAATCAGAAAAAGGTGCCCTTTCCTCAAGACATTTTACTGCCATCTGCTGAGAACTGCCAAGATAAGTATATAAATCTACATAATAAAGAGTATATAAGTCTACTGTGCTACTGGCATCCCTTTGGACTTAGGACTCTGTGCAGTGCTCAACCTATACAACTGTACATGGTGATCCTGCCCAGTCTGTGTTCAAGCTTTACAGGTGGTGGATTTTTGGCTCCACAACCCCTTTCCCTACTTCCAGCCCAGACCTTTGGTGCCAGACCCCACTCACTGCAGTTGCGCTCATCAGATTGGTCATCACAGTCTGCATCACCATCACAGTGCCAGCCTGCATTGATGCACAGGCCACTGTCACACATGAACTCCCCAGAGCGGCAGGGCTGGTGGGAGGCTGGGGAAACATGACAGACTTCTGTCTCTAGCCAGTCCACAGCAGACCAAAAAGCCACAGCCCAGCACCCCAGTTCCTCCATCTCTGCCCAAGAGGGACTAAGGTATCCAGAAACTCCTCCCTTGAGCTCATGCCCCAGCTGGCATCTGTGCCTTGCTACTCCAGGAATTCCTCCCAGCCTGGCCTCCCCTCCTCCACCAGCTTGCCAGAGCACTCACAGCAGTCAGACTCGTCCGACCAGTCTCCGCAGTCATCATCGCCATCACAGTGGTAGATATCAAGGATGCAACGGCCGTAGGCACACTGGAACTCCTCCAGGTTGCAGGGGGGAGCTGGCACTGCTGAGGCTGGAAGGAAGGTAAGGGTGGGGAAGGGCTTACACTCGGGCCTGGCAGAGGAGAGGGGCCCTGAGAGATAATCAGGTTAAACGGGACAAGATAATCAGGTTTCATTTGGGAAAGAACCTACATACTCCCATATTCCAGTGGGCCAAAGGGAGATCTGCCTTCCCACCTGGAGAACCTGCTCCCACCCTAGGAGGAACTGCTTCTTAGGAACTACCCTCCTTGCTCACTGTCCATGTACTCTTCAGTCTGGCCCTCAGCACATGGGATGGAGCCCTCTGCCCCACTGCAGCCCACAAGCCTCAGTTCTGGGGCCACTCACGACAGCTTTCCTCGTCAGAGCCATCTTTGCAGTCGGTGTCACCATCGCAGTACCAGTGCTCAGCAATACAACTTCCATCACTGCAGCGGAATTCCTTGTCAGAGCACTTGCGCATATCTGTGGGGAAACGATGGGACAGTAATCCTGTAGAAGCCCTGCAGACAAACCCTTGCACTATCCTCCCTGACTCCCACCTGGGCAACCCCTAGGGATCTGACCCAGTCCCTCTTAGACCCCACAGATTCAGTGCAGACTTTCTGGAGAAAGCCAAGGCCCTTGGGAGCCTGGGCCTTGGGCTTCTGTGTGGTAGGTCCAGGGCAAGGGGTCTGGACTGCTCTGCCCCTACTCCCCACCCATGGCCAGGCCATCCAGCGGCCAGCCTGCCTGCCTTCCCCGAGCACCCCTCACCACACTGCTCGTCGCTGTTGTCACCACAGTCATTGTCACCATCGCAGTGCCACAGGCTCCGGATGCAGTAGCCGTTCTGGCAGGGGAATTCATCCTCCTCACACTCCCGGGGGGCTGTGGGCACAGAGTGGTCAGGCACTGCAGGCAGTGGGCTCAGTGCCTGGAAGCCCGACAGAAAGCCTGGGGAGCAGAGCGACCAAGCAGCTCCAATGCTGCCCACCGTCTCTCGGGGGCTTATCTGCCCAGGAGAGCTGGTGAAAGGCCAGGACAAAGAGCCAAAGAACTCAGGGCTGACGTGGGCCTGGGCATTGTTTTCTGATTGAAAATCCCTTCCCATCCCTGATAAAGCCACCTGGCCCTGCCAGCACTCACGGCAATCCTGTTCATCTGAGTCATCCTCGCAGTCGTTGTCCCCATCACACACCCAGGAGCGGCGGATGCACTTGCCATTGTCACAGTGAAAGTCAAGAGGGGAGCAGGTGGGCAGCACTGAGTCCCGGGAAAAGAAGGCAGAAGGGAGTCTGTCTGGTACACTGGCTCAAGCAGGCTCAACTGGCCAGAAATCCTTTCCCAGCACCTTGTTCCAAGTCTCCCCGTCTGAATTGCAGTCTTTCCTCACAGACTTCTCACCTGTCCTCAGCTAATGCAGAAGCTAAGCAGAAAATGCAGCTAGGAAGTGAGAATGTTAGCAGAGAATGGTGGTGAGGGGGGTTCACAGGGCAGAACAGCCCAAGGAACTCAAAACCTTTGAGAAAGCAGTAAGAAAAGTATAAGCAAGAAAAAGTGTTCCTTTTTTTTCTTTTACTTTGACACATCTGGGTTCAATTTCCAGTTCTAGAACTCGGTACAGATTCACACTGAGCAAGTCAGCCACCCTCTCTGAGCTGTAGGTTCTTACACAATGGGGATAATTATATTTAGCCTACTGAGGTCTTTTGAGATAAGGCATGTATCGGTGCTAGATGCAAGTGAGGCATTTGCCATCATCACAATTAGCTGAACTGGTTAGGGTTAATAATCTTCAGGTTGCAGGTTTATTCTCATGAGACTAATTAGCCACCTTCATACATAGGTGCTACAGGGTGGAGGTTGCACCCTTAAACCCAGACAACTGGCTCAGCACTGAGATTTCCATATATGCAAGACAAGACACCCTAGCCCCTTGTGCATATGTTGCTACACTAGGAGAAAAGGGAGATTTAAAGAGAAAACAGGATTCTTACAAAGTTTGGGTTATTAAAAAAGGTGTGATTATACAGAACATAAATGGAAGGAACACAAAAATAATCTGTATCTGTACATAATATGCGCATTCAAGAATGCACAAATATGCAATAGTAATTCACAAACACATATTCACCTAAATACAGAGATCTTTTGAGACTACTGCAGTTTTAAGGATATTTTCTTTTTTACTTGTTTAAAAGTTTATTTTATTGGACATATATGCATGGAAATATAGAAAACACAGAAGGGTTGGAGCCATATATTGGGAAGAAGCTACCTATCTGCCTATCTGTCAGTATCTGTCACCCTTGCAAGAGTCCAACACTCTGCGACTGACACAGCAGATGCACAGACTACTCCCTCAGACTTGTTCTTGCTCCCTTCCCCCAGGTCCCTCTTCCACCACCTCCCACTGTGGCCTGGTGGGGAGGTTCTTACTACATCCATCCTCATCGCTGTGGTCCCCGCAGTCGTTGTCTCCATCACATTGCCACTGGGAGGGGATACAGGTACACTCGCCGAGGGCACTCACTGCACACGTGAAGTGGCTCCGACCACAAGTACACTCGGGGCTGCCAGCTAGGCCTGGGAGCAGGGAAAAGGTACCAGTGAGTGCTCAGCTCCAGCTCAACAAAAGCCCATTCCAGGGGGCAAGGTAGAGAGGCTAGTCAGGGGCGCTGTCACCCAGGGAACCATGGTGACACTGCGGGGAGATGCATACCGTATAATCATGCCTTCTCCCTTTTCCAAAGCACAAATGCTCAAGAGGTTAGCTGACTTCGGGCTCACGGTCTGGGTACCTCCTCTATGACAGGTTTTTGTGCACAGCACCCTCAAAGGCTCAGAGTCAAACGATGCCACTTGAGGAGCTGGTGCTCTTGGGGAAGGGGGGCAGAGGGCAGAAGGAGTGATGCAGGGAGCCTCTATATCCTTCCCTCCAAAGAGAGGTTGAGATAGATTTGCTTTTGCCTCAGTCCAGGACCAGGCTCCCCTCGGCTTTGCATCACACCAGGCAGTGTGATGGATGCTGGCTATGGAGGGAAAGATATAATACTGGAGTTGAAATGCTGGAGCCCCTTTAGCAACACAGGGGAGCACAGGCTGCTGTGAGTCTCCTAGTCAGAACTCACTTTTGATGAGGGGGACCAGGAGCAGTGGAGCCAAGGGGGAAGGGACCAGGCCACTTTAGGGCAAAGTGACTGGGACCAGTTAGGGCCTTCCTGTCTGTGAGACAGGCCACAGCTGGAGGAAGGATGGCAGAAGCAGCCCCTCCCTCCGTCTCAGCAACACGCAGCTGGGCTTCCCTACTGAGCATGAGCTATTTGCCTGGCCAAGTCCCATGACCAGTTGTTGTGCCCCCTCCCCAGCATGCCCAGCAGGATGCCCTGGGATGGCTTGTGAACGGCTCAGTGCCTCTGCTCCACCCTCAACTGGAACAAAGGGTTCTGCCAGGGTCACTCTCCTCCCTCCCAGCATTCATCTAACCCGCTGGGTTGTAGCAGCTGGGAAGGAAGGGGGCCATCGCTCATTGCTCATCTCTCCCCCTTGCTTTCTTCTCCTCTTCCTCTCCTCAGCTGGGCCCTGCCCTCAGGCTGGGCTGGAACAGGGAAGAAATCAGCTCTCAAATAGCTACTGTCTTCCTGTCCTATTTACTGGACCCAGCCTCTCTCTCAGCTCATCTCCTTAATGTACATCCTCACCTCACATTACTGTTACTCAGCCTAGCTTAGGATTTAGGGCTCAGAATTAAATAGTGTACTGCTATCCCCTCCAAAAGCAAGGAGAGAGCCCTAGACCCCTCCCTCTTCACTTCAATTCCAAGGGTAAGTGTGAGCTTAAGGCAGGAGCTCCTAACATGCAGATGGATGGATGGATGACTGGTTTAGCTGGCCTTTGGGATCTGTGAACCCTTGAAACTACAGGCAAATTGTACATTTCTGGGATGAAGGACTACAGCTTTCACCAAATCTTCAACTGAGGCCTTGCCCTCCCCCTCCAAAGGCTAGGGGAATCAGCTGCCCTCGAAAAGATGCAGGATTTCCTGCAGAAATCAAGGAAATCTGTTTGAGAGGTGCAGCGTCTCTATACCTCACAGGAAGGCCTTACTCCAAGCCCAGCACTCCTGCCCCTACCCCCACCCCTAGGCCCCAGGTCTTTCTGCCGAAGTGAGGGACAGAGGATTCTTCCCCAGAGAATCACTGAAGACCCTGCTGCCCCAGCCACAGCCCTACCTTCTTGGGCCTGTTCTGAGAGCACTGAGGACAGATGAGGGCTTTTTAACTCAGACTTTAAACACCAGAGCCTGGGGAACTTTTGTAGTGGGACTAGCTCATCACAATTACAGGTGCTACTTTAGGGAAATCTGGCTGGATGAAACAGCAAAGCATAAGAATTCCAGAGGACTCCATGCAATGGGGCTCCTCAACATGCAGATCCCCTTCATGGGAGGACTGGTGAAGAGGAAGGAGAAGGCTAAATCAGTGGTTCTCAACCAGGGATGATTTTTCCCCCAGGAAACATTTGGCAATACGTGATGACGTTTTGACTGGTGGTACTTCTGGCATCTAGGGAATAAAAGCCAGGGATGCTGTAAAATATCCTATAACGTGCAGGCAAACCTCATTTTATTGTACTTTGCAGATACTGTGTTTTTTTACAAACTGAAGGTCTGTTGCAGCCCTGCATTTAGCAAGCCTATCTATCAGCACCATTTTTCCAACAGCATTTGCTCACTTCATGTCTCTGTGTCACATTCTGGTAATTCCTGCAATATTTCAAACTTTTTTGTTATATTTGTTATGGTGATCTATGATCAGTAGTTATGACTTGCTGAAAGCTCAGACAATGGTTAACATTTTTTAGCAATAAAGTATTTTAAAATTAAGGTATATACTTTTTTAAAGATAAAATGCCTTTGCACACTTAAAAGACTACAGTGTAGTGTAATAAATATAACTTACAACTTTTATATGCACCAGGAAACCAAAAATTCATTTGACTCACTTTATTGCAATATTCAAAGTATTGCAGGGATCTAGAATTGAACCCACAATACCTCCAAGGTATGTCTGTATAGGTCAGGCCCTCACAGTAAAGAAATTATCCAGTCCAAAATGTCACTAGAAGTTGAGAAATGCTGCTAGCCACACACAGCAGGCAGGAGCAACCCACAAATGAGAAATTTGAGGTAAAGGGGGTGACAAGGACAGAGATGAAGTGGGGGAATGGGGGAAAGGGGAGAAGAAAAAGCACAGGACCTGGAGCAGACAGACCTGGGCTCTACTGACCAGCTATGTGGCCTTGTGCAAGTCACTTAGCTTCCTAAGTCTCAGTTTCCTCATCTGTAAAAAGGCCATAAGGATTGGATGAGATAAATGTAGACAAAAGCTAACCCTGAGCTTTGGCACACCAAAGATCCTCAATAAATGCATGATAAGAGTGTGCTTGTGTGGACATGCTGGGGCTGAAGTTTTCCAAAAGACTCTGACTTTATGAACCTGAGTGCCACAAATGGGAGAGTAAGAACAGTATTCTGGCACTGTGTGCAAGTCAAAAGGCATACAGGCAGTTAAGAGGATCCTTCCTCCAGGGGGTTTTGGTTGTTGTAGTTTCCTTCAGTTTTTAGGGCTCCACCCCCACCTTTGACTGAGTGATAAAAGAAGTCCTGATTTCCCCAAGCAGACTTCAGGAACAAAGCATTCCACCAGGTGGGCATCAAGTTAGTTGCAGGCAGCTGGAGAGTCACAATTTCCCGCATGTCAGAGCAACATCTGAACGTTATCCTGTGAAGGTCAGGCAGACACCATCAGGCGACCTCATGGCTTGGGCTTTCATACAGTGAACAGACACATTACACTCCAAAAAGCCAGCTCTTCTGGCCAGCCGCTGCCTCTCTGGGATCCCGGGGGGTGGAAGTTCTGCACTTTTTTCTCTAGTCCTGGCTGTGATAATAAAGAACAGCTTTTAACCCTTTTTAACTAAAGAATGGTGATTGAAGAAAGGAAACAAATGACTGTGGGTGGCAAAACTCAGTCTTCATTTCAAGAAGTTGTGGGTCAGGACGCCCAGCTGTGTCTACGGCCTTGACAGCTATTTGCCAGCCACACACACTGGCAAGCTTCCTCAGCCTCAAGGGGCTTCTATTCCACCTGGTGCGATTCAGCAAGGAAAAGAACTCTCCCCAAAGTGTTCACTATCCCCAATCATCAAGTCATCCAGCTTTTGGAATTCATGTTAATGTGCTCATAGGGTCTTCCTGAGAGGTTAACCAAAATCTCGTCATTTATGCATCTCATCCCCCTCACCTCAACCACCTTACTAATTTCTCACTGCTTTCTTTTGAAGGAAAGAAGGGCAACATTCATCTGGTATACCAGACACAGCATGGCATGGGAGTAGAGAGCATAGATTCTGAGTCAGAGACTGGAATTCAAATCACTAACTTTACACCTCTGAGCAAGTTAGTTAATGCCTCTAAGCCTCAGTTTCTTCATCCATCCCATAAAAGCAGGAATAATAGTAATGGTTCTACCACAAAGGGTTTTATAATGAATAAATTGAATAATCCATGTAAATTTAGCACAGAAGGGGTATACAGCAAAAACTCCATATAACACAACCATCATTTACTGAGGTCTCCAGATACTTTTCTAAGTGCTTTTCATATGCTATGTCATTGAATGCTCTCAACAACCCTGGGAGGTGGCATTGTTATTATTATCACCTCTTTATAGTTGAGGACACTGAGATACAGGGAGGTAACACAGGCACTAGGGTTAGAGCCAGCATTCACACCTAGGCAGGTTGATCCCAGAGCTGCTGTTCTTAATCACTTCATTATACTGCCTCCCATTATGCAGTATTGCTATTATGAGAATTTCCAAAACCCTGAGGTCAAAAAAGGGAATTTACAACACTGGGACTTCTGGGTCCCTGTCCTTTACACTTTCTTGATTAGCCAATATGCAGTGAGTTTATGGATCTCAAATAGTGACCTCTCCTGGTTACTGCTAAGGATCAAGACCAGTTTCCCTTGCCTTGAGGTATAGTAATGAAGCAGGGACAGTCTGGAGCCCCTGTCCTTTGAATCAGTGCCTCAGTGTTATGTTGGTCCAGAAAGGAAGAGTTTCTGGCAACAAATAATTTTATTTTGCAGTTTCTCTTTATAGTTTGCAAGCTACTCTTGCATACACACTTGCATTGTCATTTAATCTTTACAAGAACCTGAGTAGTTTCTGCAATGCCCATTAGTAGATGAGGTCACCTGCTTTGGGCAAGGTCATGGGATAAGTAGAAGGGCCAGGATGGCAGTCTTGGTCTGACCCATTGGTATTTTTCTCTTAATATGATCTCAGAATCTGGACTTTCAATAAGCTTCCCGGGTGACACTGATGCACATTCAAGTTAAAGAGGCACTGCTTTCCATCATCCCAGAGAAAGCTGCACAGTGACCACAGCTGTCACGTGGAGGCCCAAGCTGACAGTGCACATACACAGCTACAGAACAGCCTTTTCAAGTTGAACCAGAAAGAACACTTAAGGAGTGTCCTGTGAGTGTAGGGGGTATGATAGCTACCCCCGTGTGA